GGAAAGTCTCCAAAGATGATGCTTCTATCTGGCCCTTGGGTCCTGCGTTTATTACATTGTGGCAAAAAAAAGAATTTTATAACACATGAAGGTAGAAACCAAGAAAGTTCACTAGCAAGGCAAAGCACAGGAAGGGCCGTGCACTCCCGGACGGGGGTGCAGGCTCATCAGATGAGGGGGCTTGAGTGCTCTAACATCAGGTGAAAAGGTGGGTGGGGGTTGGTTCAGTTCACCCCAAGACAAAGGCTCCCCTTTGTTCTGACACCTGTGCATCCAGTCAGCTTGTTGTCACACTGTTTTGACGTCATCTTTTGAACCTAGGAATATCAAGTCTAGTCGGCTTCCTAAATTTGGGTCCCTGCGACATAGATGTTTGTTCTGGAGTGTCCCTTTAAACAACAGATGCTCCTTGTGAGCCAGGTGTCCTTCCTTTGGATAAATATTTTTTCTTGCAAACACCTCTGTGATCAAAGGAACCATTTTACCAAAAAAATTTTCCCTCGGGACAACCATCTTTCTTTAAGTGTTCCCAGGGCGAGAGAGAGATGCTTTTTACTGAGTGCTGCAGCTCACCGTGGGCGTGCTTAGAGCAGAGAGTGGCGCTGTCACCAACAGTGTCTACCCCTGAGTTCCTCACTCCTGTCCCCAGGCCTCACTTGCCCCGATCCACTACCTAAGCCTTTCTTGCTTCTTCTGGCCCTCTCTGGCACAGCCCAGCCATCAGTCACCTGGTGAAGGAGAAAGCTCCACAGCACAACCAGGGTGGAGCAGGGAATTTGGAGGTAGAGGCAGGTGGTCAGAGACTCATGCAGTGCTGGTGTCCTGCAGGTCTATTCTGGCTCAGATACCACTTTTTCTTCTTTTTTTAACAGCCCAGGCTGGCCTTGAAATCAAAAATCCTCCTGCTTAAGCCTCCCCAGTGCTGGTATTACAGGTGTGGCCGTCATGCCTGGCTTTGATTTCTTTTTATTAATTTTTCTTGGCATTGAATGTGTGAATTGTTATCTTCTGTGACTTCTGGGAACTTCTCTCTTAGAATATTTCTCCATCCCACTTGCTTAAGCTTCTCCTCCCAGAAGAGGCCTTCTCACTTACTCTGCCATGTCACTCAATTTCTCTTCCATGTATTAAAAAAAAATCTCTTGACCTGCTTATTCCCAATTCCTGAGATTTGGGGGCTCTGCCTCCAGTTCACAAATACTCCTTCAATTGGGGTGCATCATACAGCCAAGCCAGGAACTGGTTTGGGGGATTGTATCCTTAAGCTCTAGAATTTTTGTTTGGTGTTTTGTTAAATCTTGCCACTTTTTCTGGCTTTCTGTAGCCCAGTACTGCTCAAACAAATAAATAAATAAAATAAAAATAAGGCCCGTGTCGGGTCCTTCACTGTTTTGACCACTTGCCTTGCTCTTTTTTAGTGAGTGAACTGTGTTCAGTTTAGCTACAGATGAGTCACTGCCTTTGAAACCTTGTTTCCTGGGTTTCCCAAGGTCTGGGAAGAAGCCTTAGTGTAGGAACAGTCTGGGTTTGCTTCTGCCTATTGCGTGAGCATCACTGGTCTGGAACCCCGAGGACAACAATGTCTTGTTTATCTTTTCTTGGCCACTCAGTGGCATGTGGGTTTTTTTTTTTTTTTTGTGGTACTGGGGTTTGAACTCAGGGCCACTCCACCAGCCCTTTTCTGTGAAGAGCTTTTTCAAGATAGGGTCTCATGGGCCGACTTTGAACCATGATCCTCCTGATCTCTGCCTCATGAGTAGCTAGGATTACAGGAGTGAGCCATTGGCACCCAGCACACTTCCATGTACAGCAGGCACTTTTTCCAGGCCTATCACAGATGGGCTTCTCTCCCCAGTCTCCCAGTGGCAAAATCTCATGCTCCCAGGGTCTGGTGTGTGCCCAAGCAGGCTGCATTTCCCTTTGACCTCCCCTGTACTGTTCAGTGTTGGGGAGCTGACGGTGAGGCACATCAGAGTCCTGGCATTAGCAGTTAGGTTTATAGGTTTATAGACCACTCCATGTCTCTTTCCTTTCTCCCCAGGCCTGGCCTGACTGCCCTCCCCTTGCTGCCTCTCTCCTCCACGAGCCCTGCATGCATCACCTACCCTGCACCCTGCACACCTGGGTGCCAAGACAGAACACGGAGCAAGAGAGAGAGCCCTTTGCTGTATTCAGTAAATGTACAGACTAGTAATTTTCTCTGTTCTGTGACAACTGTCATTGAAGGTAAGGAGTCTGTGTTCCTGAGCCACTGGCACTCTTATTGGGCTCAGGATATTTTTTTTGGTGGAGGGTAGTACTGGAGTCTGAACTCAGGGCCTTGGGGCTTGCTAGGCAGGTGCTCTACCACTTCAGTCACTTCAGCTCTTTTTTGATTTAGTTATTTTTCAGATAGGGTAGGGCAGTTTTGCCCAGGGCTCTCCTCACGCTTTGATCCTGGGTAGCTGAGATGACAGGCTTGTGTTAGAGCCCCCAGCTTGTTAGTTGAAATGGGCTCTTAACTTTTTTGCATGTGTGGAGAACATAAAGCCTCCTTTAACAAGCTGCAAAGTTTGTCTGCACTTTAGGTGTAGTGCAGTTTAGAATCACTGAGCTTCCCGACCTCTGGACTATAGATAAACAGCTGTCACCGACACCAGGACACCGTCTATATGGACAGGACTGATAAGGCATGCAGCAAGAAACACCTGACATGGGACACTCATGCTAAGATGTGATGACGTCTAGAGCAACCTGGGACCCCATCTTGGGTTACACCCAAAGGTATAACCAATCAGCAGAGGACTAAATGACACAAAAGGGGAACACCCTGGAGGAAAAAGACATATAAAAAGGACACCTGCTGAGGACGCAGCAGAGTGCGCTCTCCACTGTCCTCCCGCGCTCATGGGCAACCTATGCTAGCATCAAGGGCCTGTCTCCTGCCTGCGCTCTCCTTGCCAGAGGAGCTCTCTCCTGAGTAAGAGGTCCTGCCGCGTAGTAGCGCTCCCTCCTGGCAATCTGCTTGTTGGGGCTCCCTTGTGGAGCAAGCCTTGTCTGCTGCGGTGCCCTGGGAGGGGACGGACCCAACGCGTGCCGTGACTCCCTCTTGGACCTTGTAAGTGTGCATTTGAACTGTGAATAATGCCGTTGCATTGTCCCAAGTGTCCGAGTGGTCTTTGAGCGACATTGCCTCTACCCTAAGTCTGCCAATCCCACGGTAGGGATGCTCGCTGCTTTAGGACATCGGTAACTTCTCCCTTGTGGGAAAGAAGACAAAGTCCTGTTCAAGACAGCATCGAAACTACTACGATCCTCCCAATCTCCGCCTCCTGAGTGGCTGGGATCGCAGACGTGAGTCACTGGGTCCAGCTTCAAACTATGTTCTTCTTTTAAAAGTAGAGCCTTTATTTTATGTTTCTATTAAAATTTGTGTGGTTCTGGTAGGAAAGCCCTGTTTGCCGAAGGTAACTATCGGAGGGAGGACCCTGGTACCTCAGTGAGGAGGGGCGACTGGGGAGGAGATGGTGCGGTGGTGCAGGCAGGACTCAGCAGCCCCGAGGGTATAGCGCACGATGGGACGCGGGAGTCCAGGGTGCGTGCGGGGCGGTCACGGCCGGCCTGGATTCTGGGATAAAACAGGTGCAAAAGAGAGGACACTGGAACGCAGGGCAAGCGGGAGAGGGCGCTTGACGAAGGACCGGGTGCAGCGTGGACCGCCCAGCCTTTGGGGGGTCCCTCACCACTGCAGAGATCTCTTGGGCCGGCTGGCAGCCATGAGGGCAAGGCGCGGTTTCACCGCCTGGCCGCCCGAGGTCTACCCTGAGCCTCGCATTTGCGGGCGGCAAGTTGCCCTCCGCGCGGATGCGGCTATGCGCGGTGGTGCGGTCACGTCACAAGCTGCAGGCAGCGTGGGGTCTGCGCAGGGTGGCGCCCTTGAGTCTCTCTCCTGATCCCTGGCCGGGTGGCCGTGACCGCGTGACCCGCGGCTCAGGAGGAAGCAGCGCGGAAGCCCCGGCACCCCGGGTCCGGGAAACGGCGTGGCCGCCTGCGTCCTGCCTGCGTTCTGGCCAAGCGCGACCGGGTGGGCGAGCCTGGCGTCCGCCGGCCTTTCCTTTAAAAGAAGAGGCGTTATTTTACATTATTATTAAAATTTGTGCGGTTCTGGTAGGAAAGCCCTGTTTGCTGAAGGTAGCTATCCACGGTTGGGAATTCGGGCTCACAACACCCTTGGCCATCAGGACACTCGGGCCGCGGGATTAGCTGGGGTGCGCACGGGGGCAGCGTCGGGACCGAGGCCGGTAGGTGCGGAGGGGACGCCGGGGCTCGTGCTCCAGGGCCACTCCGCATGCGGTGGGTCTGGGGCGCTCTGCGGGGGTCGTGTCCGGGTGTCGGGCACGGTCCATCCTTCCCAGACGGAAGGGGGCCCCCGCACGCGTGGGCCCCGGAGAGGTCGCTCTCCTCGGCGGCCACAGGCGACACGAGGTTCTTTACGACGAGGAACCCCGAGAGTTCACTGGGGAGAAATCGGCCCACAGCGGGGAGGCGTGGCCAGACCTCCAGGCTCTGCGGGGAACGGGGAGAGGGGAGGGAGGCAGATGTCCCCTCGCGGGGGCGCGGAGAGAAGAGCCTCGGAGCGGCGGGCCGGAGGGACCGCGCAGGCCGTGGGCTGCCCGCTGACTCCCGAGCGTCGGGGCGAGGATGGCCAGGCGGGACCCGCACACGGTGGATACCCCCCGCCCACGGGCGGCCGGACCCCAGCCTGGACCCGGCGAGCCGGCGCTGAGCGGTGCGTTTGCATCCTCCTCCCCCAGCCCCTTGCGAGCGCCGGGACCCCCGGGACGGACCCCCAGCTGCGCTTTCTCGGCTTTGTCCCGCCGAGGAGCGCTTTGCAGGCTGGACAGGCGCAGCGACCGAAGTGGCTTCTGTCACCACCCGGCTGTCGCGCAGAGCAGGGCGCACTGAGCCCTGCAGCAGCAGCGGACCCGCACACCCGTGGCGCGCGCGGTTCCCGGGTTTCCATGACGACGACGTCGGGGGCCCCCGGGCGGGGTCGGGTCGGAGCGCATGCGCGCCCGCGTCGGACGCGGCGCGTCTTTCCGTGTCGCCCGCGCTGCCAGTCGCGCGGGTCCCTGAACCGCGGTGAGGACGGGGTGGGGCGGGGGGCGGTTCTCGAGGCCCCGGGCGCGGGCTGCGGTAGCAGGCCCGGGGGTGCGGAGGTTTGGGGCGCCCGGGAGGTGGGTGGGGCGGGGGCGCGCACCGGGTTCCTGGGATCCGGGGCTGGGGCCGCAGGAGGGGTGGGCCGAGGTTCCCGGCTCCGGAGGTGGGAAGGGCCGGGCGGACGCGGGCCGGGTGAGGTACCGCAGCTGACCCCTCGCTCGCTGCAGGGCGGCCCGGGCTCCCTCCTCGGCCATGGCCCCCCCGCCCGCCTGCCGGTCCCTGCTGTCGCCGCCGCCGCTGCTGCTGCTGCTGTTTCTGCTGAGCCTGGCGCTGCTGGGCGCCCGCGCTGAGCCCGCCGCCGGGAGCGTCGTCCCCGCGCAGAGTAGGTGCCCGCGGGAGGGCCGGGGCTGGGCGGGTCTCGGAGCCCGGGGCGCGTGCGAGGAGGGCCGCCTTGCCTCGCCTTTGTTCCTGGGAGCGGCCGCTCCTCGGGTGGGAAACGGAGGGTGGGTTTTGGGGACCTTGCTAGCGCTCGAAAGGGACCCGGCTGGGGCGCAGGGAGGCCGAGGAGCTGACGCTGACCTGCCTCCCCGCAGGCCGTCCGTGCGTGGACTGCCACGCGTTCGAGTTCATGCAGCGCGCCCTGCAGGATCTGCGGAAGACGGCCTACAGCCTGGACGCGCGGGTGAGTGTCCACGGCGCGGGGAGCCCTGCGGGTCGCTTCAGGGCGAGCTGGATGTGGAGCCAGGATCCCAGGTCCTGCACCGCAGTCCATGGCGGAGGGGTGGGTGGCGAGGGAAGGGGGCGTCTCACCTATGGGCATCCTCCCACCCCCAGTGCAGTAGGTCTAGCCCCCACCAAGGCTTCACAGGCAGTTTGTCCAGTGACCTGCTGTAGCTGACTTGGTCCTCCAGGGATGGGCAGCTCCAATTCAGGATCCCCAGGTTGGGGATCAGGGGACTGACAGGAAACTGAGGCAGGAAAGAAGAGGGTGGCTGGAGTCTGAGGATTGGGACATTAGATTGGGCAGGGCGGTCTGGGGGGAATGGATGTGACAGTAAGCTTCTGGGCTGGTCTCCAAGTCAGATGAACAGGGATCCCTTGGTCCTAGGGCCAGGGAGTGTCACTGGGGACAGTAGTCTCTGTTTCATGGAGAGGGAGAATCCCTGGAAATGGGAGGAAGGGACCCCCTAGGAAGAGCAGCCCAGGCTCCCTGGGGAACTGCTGTGGGTGGAGAGGCACAGGAGCCCTGAGATGTGGGGAGTGAGCTGAAAGAGGGCAGGGATTGGTGGCCTGGGTGGGTGTGGGCCTGAGCAGGAGCTGCTCCATAGGGAAGATGCTGAGGCACTAGGCCAGTGGAAGCGCCAGCCAGGCAGCCTGACAGTCCCAGGACACTGCACTGGATGGGGTTGAGAAACTGCCTGGACACCCCAAGAAGTGGCTAGTGGGGGCTATGCTCATGGTTGTGGGTTGCTTTGCAGACGGAGACCCTACTGCTGCAGGCTGAGCGCCGGGCCCTGTGTGCCTGCTGGCCTGCTGGGCGCTGAAGACCCTTGGCCAGTGCTGTTCCCTGTCAATAAACATCTGCCAGCACAACTGTGTCCTGTCTCCCTGCTCTGGGCACCTAGCCCCTGGTCATCCCCAGGAGCCCTTGGTTGGATCCCTCTCTGGCTCTTGGTCCCCCCAGCTGTTTCAGGGGAGAAGCTTGGCATCTATCTCACAACACCAAGGCTGAGAGGTGGGCATGCCACATATGTGGACCCACAGGCACTGGGTGCCACAGTGTGTCTGCTGCAGGGGACCTGCCTCTGGCCTGCCTGCCCTTGTTTGGAGGTTAGGGGAGCATAGAACTTGGCCTTCCCCCCTTGATCCCCAGAACTGAGTCCCCCAAGGCTTCTCTGCAGGGAGTGGGACAGTTCCCTGAAGGCTGAGTTGGCAGACCCCAGCCTGGGACTGCTGAAAGAGCGTGGGGATCAGGCAGTTGGGTGAGTGGGCTGAGAGGGGGGGCTGGGTGGGCTCCCCACTGCCTCAGCCCTGCCTACTGCTCTCATCTGTGGCCCTGAATTTGGCCCTTGGGCACCACGGACTCCTGGGTGGGTGGTAGGGGTCAACTCACATCTGTACACCTGCATGCTCAGCACCCAGTAGGTGGCCTCCAGGTGAAGCAGTGACAGCTTCTCTCTTTGTTTGTTACCTAAGCGTTCTTGGAAGTGAAGTTAAAGCAGGCATGTTAACAGATGATATGGCTCTGAGACTGAAGTGACTGCTCCCAATCCCAGATGGGACACCTGCCACTCCAGGCTTCACTTCGCTGCTTGTCTCACCTCCACGGGCCATCGAGCCTGGGCACAATCGGTGTGTGCCAGGGCCAGCTTCCTCTCCTAGGCTCTGTAGCACCTAAAGAAGGTGGAGGCAGGCTCACGTCCCAGTGGTTGTCCTCAGTCACATGACCATTCCTAGCAGCAAGGGAGGCTGGGAATGTAGCCTTGTTCTAGGTGTGGGTTGCCAGATTTAGCAAATGCAAAACAAGGACAATGAATATGTTTTTAGAATAAGTCTGTCCCATGCAATATTTAGGATGTTCTTAAACTAAAATTCATCCATTGTTTATACAAAGTTGAAACCTGAGTGTCCTGTGATTTATCAGCAGCCATCAGCTCTGGTACAAACCCGCCTGTTACTAAAAGACAGGGAAAGCCGAGAGACCACAGTGAAGAATTCTCTTGGGGAGATTCCCTGTGGGACGAAATAGGGATATCAGCCAGGAACTTGGGTGGAGGGGCCTGGAGGCCAGTGGGGTTGTTTCTGTCTCCCCAGGAGGTGCTGAAGGGAGCTGGGGGAAGCAGTCAGGAGGGAGGAGTGGAGGGGGACTCACCTTGGAGCCTCGATAGCTTTGCAGAAGCAGATGTGAGGTCTTTTTAAACAGGGCCTCTGGCTGCTGGTGGAAAATGGACACTGCAAGGACAGAAGGGGCCTTTGAAGTGACCTCACATATAGGAGCTGAAGGAGGATGGCAGGTGGCAACAGTAGAGGGACTCCAGGTGTGTTAGAAAGTAGAGCCAGCAGGATTTGTGGGGAGCTGGGAGGAGGAAGTGAGGACAGGTCATCTAGGTCCAGGCCACTAGACTACACCTGGACAAGGCAGGAGAGAGAAGGGTTGGACAGGTACACTGGCTGAGATCCCGGTGCCCTAAGTGTAGACAGGAGAGATGGGCCAGGTAGGTGAGAGGAGTGGCCCCAGAGGAGATGGGGCAGCCATAAGGCAGGAGGAGAGCTGAGGCAAGGACTCTGGGCAGAAGGGAGGGTCAGTGTGTCACATGCTGCTATTAAGCAAATATCCAAACACCAGATCTGGCAACTCTGGCCACTGGTGATGTCGACCAAAGACAGGGTCTGTCAAAGAAGGGGGAAGACCTGACTTGGGTCTCCTGGGAGGAGCAGAAATGGAGGGAGCTAGCATAGATATCTTCAAGGAGTTTAGCCTTACATAGGGTCAAAGCCAGTGGCATTCCTAGAGCCGTGGCACACCTTCCTGCTTGTCGTAGACTGATTCAGCACAGGACTGTATGTAATTCACAGCATGGCCAAGCATTGACCTGAACTGGGAATGCATTCTCTCTGGGACACCCGTCATTTTCCTGGACTGGGTGTTTGCCTGACTTTCCTCATTTCATCCTTATTGTCCAACGTCAAGCCATCGCGAAGTCACAGTGTCCCTCCCTCCCCATATGTCCACTGGGTCCTTACAGCCTGCTCTGGCCAGCTGGCTGTCCTGCTGCTGACCATTCTGTGATTCTTCCCCTGCCCTGGTGCCGCCCTTTTCCACAATCCCATGTCCTCTCCCCACTGTGTGTGTTTAGCCTGGTAGAACGGTGTGCTGGAAGACAACTTGGAGTCTGTCTGTCTGCAAATATCTTCTGCTGGCACATTCAAGTCACAGTGTAGCCCCTCCCACCTCAGGACTTCTGCACAATCTGTGTTGTCCCTTCTCCATGGAGTTACTCACTTGGCATCCAGGACTTGCCTCTCTTCAACACTTACAGAAGTGTCTTTGTAGGTTTGTCCCTAAGGTACAACTGTTGATCTTTTTGTTACTAGCCTATTTCTGTACCCTATGTTCTGACCCAAGAAGGGTGACATGCTGATCTTGTCAGGGCCAGCAGGGGCAGGGGCTTTGAAGGTTGAAGGGAGGGATGGTGGTGGGTTGTGGACTTACAGAGCAGTGCGTCATGTGCCTGCAGGAGCCCCATCCCTTCTCGTTCTGGAAGCTCTGGGGGGGGACGGGTCTTTCTGGGGAGGGCAGATCTACGGAATAGGCTTTGAGCCCCTTTTACACTCACGGGCAGGTGTAATGTCGAGTCTGCCTCCTCCGACTTTGGGAAACTAGCTTGTTTTCGGTTTGTTGAGACATCCAGGTAGTGACGCTTTGGGTCTTCTGGGTTGTTTTTCTTTTCTGTTTTTTGAGTTTCCTGGCCTTTGGGTTCTACTTTCTAAAAGATCTCTGGGTTTTCTCTAGTCCCCGCATCTCCCCCCTCCTCCAACCTCGTTCCTCCTGGTGGCCACTCCTAGGACTCCCTTGGTCGCAGGTCCTCGCAGCGGCAGCGGCGCTGCGTGCCTGCTGTTCCCCTCCATCTCCAGCGCAGGGCTGTTCCACCCCATAGATCCTGGTGAAGTGTGACTGGCAGGACTCCCCGAGGGTGGAGGGAGGATGGTCCGTTTTTGTCATCTCCCAGCACGAGAGGGGCCAAGTGATGGGGCCAGGTAGTGGTTTCTGCCCACCGCTTGGAGCTGGGAGTGGCGAGGGGGCTGCAGTTGCTCCGGGCTCCAAGCAGTCAAGGTGAGTCCAGTGGGGTGGGGGTGGGAACAGCGGGGTGGGCGGGGCCTCTGGGAAGCGATGGCACTGGGAGCACCGGCAGTCTGGGTGGGTTTCTGCCCGGGTTTTCCTGGCCGTAGATTGGATTCTAACACCGTCCAGGGCTGACCTGAGGGGCTCTGGCAAAGGGCGCCCCACGTCATGGAGGAGGAAACTGAGGCCGCGGGGCCTAGGATCGTCCCTTTTTTCTGCGTAACTTCAACCCTTTTCAGAAGGCTTAGTCTCCAAGCCCTTACTGGTGGCTGTACTGGGGTCCAGCCCTGGCCCCTCCGCACTCCTAAACGGCTCTGGTGCGTTCCAGTGGGCTATGGTACAGGCCTGCATCATAGCCACGGGGGTCACAAGGGTTACAGGAGACTTGGGGCACTGATGAATGGCCCACCAAGGTCACGTTTCTGCTCAGGTCTTTGGGCCTGGCGGTGAGGAGCACAGAAGGGAACTCCTCGGGCTTAAGATATGGGGGTGAAGTGGGGTTGTGGCCCTGGAAGGTCTGGACCGCTTTGCTCTAAGGTTATCTAAGACTTCAGGGCCCCTCGTGTCCAGAGCCTGGAGTCCGGAGTCAGACCCTCATCGGGAGCTCCTGGAGAGTAGACTTGGCCTCTCTCCTTTCCTGGACGCCACTAGGAGCATGACAAATTGTTTCCCAATACCCAGTCACACTTCCATCCTGGTGCCTGACCCCTAAGACCTCTCCCCGATGTGTCCCTAGTGCTCAATCTTCACTGTCTGGATCCCCGCACGCTGGCCCACTGTTCAGGACATTCGGAGCAGCCACTGGCTCAGGCCTTGTGGAGGAGCTGTTGAATGGATCAGTGAGTCCCTTTGAGATTTCCTGTGATTCTGCTTCACTGTCCTGGAAAGTCACAGCGGAGCCCCAGACATGTCCCTGCGTTTTGGAAACATGCAGGGGGGGGCCTTCCCAGCTGCACCCCCAGGCTTGCACTGGCGGCTCCTGGCTGTGGACTAGTTAGCCCCCCTCTCTCCACACCACACTCCCACATCCCACCCGTATCCCTGGTCCCTCCCAGCCTTAGCCGCCCCGCTGGCCCCAACTCCAGGGCCCAAGACAGACTCGGTTTGATGTTGCCCTTCAGGGTGGGGCGAGGAAGGGGCGCTGGGCTGCAGGGGGAGGGGGCTAAGATAGAAAAGTGGTGAGCATGGGGTCCGCAACTACCTGTACCCTCACCGAAATAATGGTACCCCGGCTCCAGCCTACTGCGTCTGCAGGACCCTGAGGACGCGGTCCCCACTGCACCTGCACCGAGGCCACGCGGCGCATGCGCGGGCCGCAGAGGGCGGGGGCCGGGCCGGGAGCGGTCCTGCGGGCCCTGCACCCACCGCGCCCGCTGCGGGAATCGGGTGTCGGAGTTTCGGGGGGGAGGAGGGTGCTGCACTGCGCCGGGACGCGCAGGGCTGAGGGCGGCGTGGGCCTCTCACCGCGCTCGGACCGCGTCCCCACTCCTCCAGCCGGTGCGGCCCGGGCCGCGGGTTCCCGGGGACGCCGGCCGGGGGAGCGCTGCGCCCCTGCCCAGGGCCTCTGCCGGGCGCCGCGTTCAGACAAAGGGGCGGGAGATGGAGACGCTTCCGTGACTGCGCCCAGCCGCCGCAGAGGAGGAGGACGCGGCGCTGCAGGCACGGCGGCCCGCGCTGAGCGACGGCTTTGCGGGCGCTCAGGGGGCGGGGTGGGAGGCGTTCATCACGCGCTCCCGGCCGGGCGGGCCCGGAGCCCCCGGAGCGCCCCTCCGTGGGGGGGGACCTGGAACCCCCCGCCTCGGCCTGCAGCCCCGGGCGTCGCGCGTGTCCCGGCTGGTCCGTCGCGCCCTTTCCACCCCTGTGCGGGCCGCCTGCCGCGCTGTGCCCAAGTGTGCCATCGGGCGGGCGCGGAGGCGGCGTCTGCTCCCACCCTCGAGATCACATGGTGACCCTCGGCAGCCAATGCAGTGGACGCTAGGACCCTGCGGGACCCCGGACGCCGCGACTGCACCGGCGCCGCTGCATTATAAATACTTCTCCAAAATGCGGCGCAGCTCCCTGCGCGCGCCCCGGCCGCCCGCCGCCTCCGCCCCGCGCCCCTGAGCTGCCGCCGCCGCCGCCGCCGCCGCCGCCGCCGCCGCCGCCGCCACTGCCGCCGCGGGTCCGAGGGCGCCGCGCCCTTGCCCTGGGCCCGGGCTGTGCCCGCTGCCGCCGGCCCGCGTCCCCGCGCTGCGCCGCCCGGCCGGGTGCATGCATTGTGGGCCTCCCGACATGGTCTGCGAGACGAAGATCGTGGCCGCGGAGGACCATGAGGCGCTGCCGGGGGCCAAGAAGGACGCGTGCTCGCCGCCGGCGCCATGTGGCCCCCGCTGCCCGCCGCACCGGGGCCGGCCGCCGCGCCACCGCCCGCGCCGGGTCCCCAGCCTCTCGGCGGCGCGGGGGGCGCGGGGCCGCCCGGGGGGCGCGGCGTGTGCATCCGCGAGTTCCGCGCAGCCGAGCAGGAGGCGGCGCGCCGCATCTTCTACGACGGCATCTTGGAGCGCATCCCCAACACGGCCTTCCGCGGCCTGCGGCAGCACCCGCGCACACAGCTGCTCTACGCCCTGCTGGCCGGTCAGTGCGCGGCGGGGGCTCGGGGATCCGCGGGGCGGCGGGGCCGGGCCCGAGCGAGCCCCGCGGGCCCCTCCCTCCCTGTCTCCCCGGTCCCGGTGCAGACCCCCCACCTCGGAGTCCGGGCGGAGGCTTGGGCCGAGGCTGCGCTCCAGCCCCTGCCCGGGAGCGGCCGGGAAGGAAGACGCCAGCCCGCACCCCGCACGCGCCCGCCTTTTGGGGCGACCGGGCCACGGTGGCTCCGCAGCGGGGCGGCCCGGGCTCCCGGCCAAAAGGCGTCTGGCCCGGGCGTGGGAACCAGTGCGGGCCGAGGGTACAGGCCGCGGGCCAGGAAGGACTGGGTCCCCCCCTGCGTCCCGGTCGCCTGTCCTCCCCGTCGCCTCGCGGGTCCCCTCCTGGGCATCCCGGGTGGGGGCGGCGTGACGGGGCAGGTAGCGCCGCTGCTGCGGCCCCGCGCCTGGCGCGGTAACTATATATAATCCGCGGGCGGGGGAGGCTGCTTCGGTGGCTACAGTGCTAATTTATGAGGGGAAGACAGCCAGTTCCGCGGGTGCCGGGGAGGCTGTGCGCCCAGGCCACCGGGGAGGACGGCCCCACACTGTGGAGCTCGTCAGGTAGAGTTGTTCCCGCATTGTACAGGGACGCTTGACGGGACTGTTGCAACGTCACACAGTGGGGCGACTTTCGCTCTTGTGCCTCTGCCTTTTCTGCAGCCAAAATGAGGCTGGAAGTAGCGTGGGTTTCTCTGCCGTCTCGGTCCTCACAGGCCGGAGGCCAGCTGAGTCAGAGAGGGCTCTGGCCTGGCTCCTCCCCGCTCTCCAGCTGTGGGACAGCTCCCTGGTGCTGTCCAGCCTCTCTGGTGGGCTCTTTGCAGCACTTTGGCTTTGCGGTAGGAGTGGGCCAAGGGTGTGAGCAGAGCCTGCTAGGCAGCTGGGGACCAGGAGGGCTGTGGCCACTGGCAGACCACCTGAGGCTGTGTTCTTGCCATTTGTTTGGGGTTATGAAGATTGCAAGTCTTGATGACAGAAAGTTTGAAAACAGGGAAGCTCAGAAAGGGACACTGGAAGGACCTCTTCCTCCACAGAGAGAAAACAGCCTCGCCGTCATGTGTGTCCCTAAGCACTGACTTACCAGGGTGGCCGGGGTCCTGGTGGTGTGGGCCTGGATCTGTCTTGCCTGGCTGGGTGCTGGTACCCGGTCCTGCCCCTGGCAGCTCACCTGTGTCACTTGCCTGCAGTACTCTGCTTTGCTGTGACCCGCTCGCTGCTGCTGACGTGCCTGATGCCGGTTGGGCTGCTCGCCCTGCGTTATTACTACAGTCGCAAGGTGATCCTGGCGTACCTGGAGTGTGCTCTGCACACAGACATGGCCGACATTGAGCAGTACTACATGAAGCCACCTGGTGAGTCATGGGATTCTCCCACCCTTCTTCGCTCTGTTCTGTGTCCCTCCGCCACCCTTGTGCCAGGGTCTGGCACAGGTGGGCTTGGACTGGGAAGATCCTGATGACCTAAACCTTTCCAGTGACTGAGACCTTTGGCCAAGGGTAAGGGTGTCAGTGGGCTTGGGGGGGACAAAGCTGGGCCCCCCTAGGTTGCCTGGGGTGGCTCTGGACCAGGGTCACCTGGCTCTCCGCTCACACTATTGGTCACCTTTTCCTAGTACATGCTAGGCAGGGGACAAGATGCTGGCTGTCATACTTTGCTGGCCTAGAGTGCTGGGGTCCTGGGTGAAGGAGGCAGGGGACAGGAGAGCCCAAGGAGCAGAAAACCAGGGCAGGGGTCCTGCCCTTTTCCTTGCTCTCTACTTCTGGCCCGGTCTCTGAGCATTGAATGAACCACATGGTCACCTGTAGAGGAAAGGCTTGGGATCCTGGTCTGGAGGGGTTGGGGACCGTTGTCTGCTTCTGGGCTGGCTCCAAGGCAGGCTGGATTCTGGGTGCCAGAGGATGGAGGAGTCCTGGCTCTTTGTGACAGAAAGGTCTCCCAGGATCTGGAAAGTCTATGGACTGATGATGGGGGTGACAGCCAGAGCTGGGAGGGACAGCCTCTGTGGCACTGCCAGCTGTGCTTGTTGCTGGCTTGGCCCAACTGCCCTGTCCTGGGTCCCACTCCCCAAGCCAGCTGGTCTGGGTGCCTGCCCTTCTCCTTGACCCTGCCCTCCCAAACCCAAGTGCAGTATCCACGCAGCCTCCTGCTTTACTGCTGTGGAGCAGAAGGGGACTCTGGTACAAGTGCAGGCATGGCTGGATGTCTCTGGTGGCCCTGCCCTCTCTGGTCTGCTGCGTGTCCAGGGGTGTGGGGGTAGTGTTCCTTGCTTGCCCTCCTGGAACATCTGCAGGAAGACCCCACAAGGCAAAGGCTGCACAAAAGCCAATGGGGCTGTGTGGATTTATGGGAGCTGCTCATACAAATGGAGAAACTGAGGCCTGGAGTGGGTGAGGTGGCCCGAGGCCAGTCAGAGCTGGGGACTGTCTTGACGTCTGGTGTGGCCTGTGTGGGTGGACAGTGGGGAGGTTAACAGAGGTGGGAGAGTTACAGAGGCTCTGGGGTGAGGGGGGCCTTATGGGCACAGAGTTTGGAGGAAACCACTACATGACCATGGGTTGGCAGCACTTTGCCCTTTCTGCTGGTGGACATGGGCAGCTGAGGCTCTCCAGTGCTCCCTCAGCCACCTGAGGGAGATGGCAAGGTCCCCTTCACAGAGCTGGCAGGCTGTGGCCCAGGGTAGGCTCCTGGATTGAAGTGAGGTAGAGGTGAGGGAGTTTGGCCCTGGAGGCAGGCTGGTATGAGTGGGCCTGGGGGCTAAGTGCCATCAGCGCAGGCGTGGCAGACTGGGGTCCTTGGAGCAGGCCCTTTCCTGTCTGGCCAGCCCCTGTCCTCCTTCAGAGAGGTCTCTGGGTGTCCCCTTTGCCTTTGGCCAGCAGAGATAGCCAGGTTTTGCCTATGGCCTTACCCTGCAGGCCTCCCTGTCCCCTTCTCAGCCTGTCCCCTCTCCCCTGTTCCCTTCCTGCTGGCACAGGCTGGGATTGGCTGTGATGTGGGTGAGGCTGGCTGACCTGGCCACTGGGCTCACTGCCCAAGAGAGCCTGGGTTAGTGGATCTTGAGGGTGCCTGTGAGCACCCCTGGTCCCCCACCGGGATTTATGAAATGTCCTCATAGGCCCCCTGTCAAACCCCATGCAAGGATCCCATGGAGGGGTGGGGCAGCCTGGGGTCTGGGAATGAGCACGGGTCAGCTGCACTTGAGGCCTTGGCTGTGTGTAGTTGCCTGTGGCCTTTCAGTTGTTTGGTCAGGGACATGGGTCTGCCTGGCTACAGGTCCCAGGAGAGGGACTTGAGCCTTCTACTACTTCCCTGGCCAGGACAGCCCAGTCTTGGGGACTGAACGTGCCTAGGCTGTGACACAGGATCAGGTAGGTTGGGCCGGGCTGAAGCTGCTGTGCTCTCTGGAAGAGGCAGCTTACTGCCGTCTTGAATCGTGGCCTGGGGTCCAGGGGTCCAGACGAGCTGGGAGCTGGGCCATGGGGGCTGGTGATGCTCAGCTTGGTGTCCAGCTGTAGTGGGCAGCCGTGACGTCTCCTTGCCAAATGCCCATGACCGTCCTGTTCCCTGCAGGCTCCTGCTTCTGGGTGGCTGTGCTGGATGGCAACGTGGTGGGCATTGTGGCCGCGAGGGCCCACGAGGAGGACAACACGGTGGAGCTGCTGCGCATGTCTGTGGACTCGCGCTTCCGCGGCAAGGGCATCGCCAAGGCGCTGGGCCGGAAGGTGCTGGAGTTCGCCGTGGTGCACAACTTCTCTGCAGTGGTGTTAGGCACCACCGCCGTCAAGGTGGCTGCCCACAAGCTCTACGAGTCACTGGGCTTCAGACACATGGGTGCGAGTGACCACTATGTGCTTCCTGGCATGACCCTCTCGCTGGCCGAGCGCCTCTTCTTCCAGGTCCGCTACCACCGCTACCGCCTGCAGCTGCGCGAGGAGTGACTGCCACCACCCGCCCGCCACCCCATCTGCCCCCGTCTGCCTGTGCCCACCTGCCCACCGCCCGGCGTGGCCCTGCTTTCAGACGCTCACCTTGGCGTTCGTGTTGGGTTTTCCTTTTTCAACATCTTCGCGGTTATCTGGCTGGTCCTGAGGGGAGCGTGGGGCTGCCCACTGGTGGGGTGGGCTGCCCACAGCCACGGTCCCTTATTCTTCCTGGCCTGTTGGGGTGGCTCGCCATGCCTTGAAGAGCGGCATCGTGGACCACCTAGACTGTCCACCAAGCTGCCCAGCCTGCCTCCATTGGAGGAGGCCTAGCCTTGCCCACCAAGCACAGAACCTCTGCAACAAAGCCTCCCACGGAGCAGACTGCCGGCCCCCAGCCAGGTTATGGCTCAGCCATCAGTCCCTGGAAGTGTGGCCTGCTGGGCTGGCCGGTCACTGCCCCTTGGGAGGCTGTGCTGGCCACAGGCCCCGCTTAACTCTGTGCATGCTGAGGACATGGCCTGGCCGCAGCATGCAGCATGCCACAGCCCCGTCCTGCTGCCCTGCCCAGACTGGTCCCTGGGACCGAGGCTGGTGAGCACCCCTCTGTGGCCTGAGCTCACCTCTGGAAGGCCTGCTCTGCTCCCACCTTGCCTGCTCTCTGGCGGGGCCTGAACTGCCCCTGAGCCCGGGCTCCGTCCACTTCTGCTTTGCTTTCCTATCATCTTACTTTTCTCTCCTTTGGCCCTTGCACCCCCCTGCCCAGGCTTGGTGGACTTGAGCCACCTGACATGGCGCATCACCCAGGTGTGGTTCCCATAGCAACCCACTGCACCAGGTGGTGGGGCCATGGGGTGACACCTCTCTTCAGCTCCTGCTAGATCAGGTGGCCCCTTCTCAGCTGCCTCGAGGCCCTCCTGCCTCTCCCTTGCTGTTTGTTGGGGTCCGCCCTTGAATCTTGCTAGCCCAGGCTGCTGCCGCAACGCGTGCAGTCACAGCTTCTCCCAGCCTGAAACTGACCCATTTTCTAATAAGTTACTTAGACAGAATAGCACTCTGCATGACTTTAATTCTTGGGACAAAACGGTAGTTTGAACCTTCACACACACACCCGTGTGGTGCTAGCGCTGTCTCTGGCCCCGTTGGATGGGGGTGGGTGGCCGGGTGGGTGGAGGGTTTCAGTTTGAAATCTGGAAGGAGACCCTGATTTAATTTCTCCCCGAAGCTCATAACTGGTTGTGAGGCCCCTTCCGGCCCCAGTGTGCACAGTTGAGGGGACTGGTGTGTCCCAGACCCTCAGGAGGAGCCGGGAGCAGGAACGAGCAGTGGGCCATCCCTGTGTGGCCTGCTTAGCTCAGGGCTGGCTGTGCTCCTGGCCTCTCTTGAGAGTTGGACTTGGGGACTGGCCTGAGAAAGGGGTGGGTTGGGACAGGGAGAGGAAGGCAGTGGCTGGCAGTGCTCATGTGGCCAGCTGAGCTTGAAACTGGCTTTGGTGTCAGGAGGGACATAAGGCCCAACCTCTTTGTGTGGGGCTTGAGGGGAAGAGAGGAGTGGCAGGCAGGGTGGACTGTGGAGCTGGGTCCCTGGCACCAAGGCATGTTCTTAAAAAGGCACTTCAGAAATGGATTGGCGGAACAAGCCCAGCCTCCCAAGGGGCCTTTTGTCCTGTTAGCAATTGAGGCACTTGCAGAGCACTGTACAGACCCCGCTCTCCCCCTGTACATTCCTCCCTGGTGGCGCCCGGTCCCTGCTCGGGGATGGGAGTTTTGTAGACTGTACAGAAATTGGCACCCTATTTTCTTGCAGCTCTCAGATTTTGTTAATCTGGATTATTCAGACAGACGTAAAGTGTTTTAGCAAAATGGAAAACAAACAGTCGTGCCTTTTTCCTTTTTGTTTGGTTTGGTCTCCACTCGGGGCTGGTCTTAGTTGCCATGGGGCTTTTGGGGCTGCTGGTTGGTCTGAGGCCTGGAGCAGGAGGCTGGGCGGTCCCAAGTGGGAGTCAGGTCTGGGGGGAGGAGGGCAGGCTGCTCCAGCAGTGGGTTTCTATGATCCTGTGCCTTTGGAGACCATCTCCAGGGTGGGGTAGGATGGGCCACTGGAGCTACCTAGACCAGGGCGGAGCCTGGGGACTCTGGGACTGCCAATGCTTCCTTTATACTAGACTGGAACAAGCTCATGGCAGACCCCTGTCCTGGGGGCTCAGGAGGTCCTGGGGCCCTTGTGACCTATGGGCACCTCTGCCCAATTCCAGCTATGCAGCCCAGTGGGTGGAAGGACAGTTGCTGCGCCCTTGACTGTTCTGTCACCTTTCTGTGACTGCCAGGACTTAAGTGGTAGGGATGCCAGGAGCGGGTGGCAGGGCAGTTCTGAGCTGCACCAGGATGGTGCCTCATCAGGCCAGGGTACAGCTCAGCAGGACCACGGGGCAGATCTCTTGTCCTGGACTGGAGGCTGGTGCCTCATCCCTGGAGCCTGAGTGCTCATTGCTCCTCACTTGTGCACTGACATGAATTTTATACGTTTGTAGAAATTCTGTTTCTTCTACCTCTGTGGAGGCCCTTCTGGGCCCCGTGGTTGTGTGTCTGGTGCCGCTCCCCTGAGTTTGCTGGCTGTCACCTCCTTCCCCCCACCTTGGGCCTCTGCCCACTTTGGATAGCCAGCGTCTGCACTCCTGGCCTGGGAAGGCCCAGGGAGGTCAGTCTAGGGCCTGGCTCTGTGCTCAGGGTCTGGGTTTTCCTAAAGTTATGTTGGTTGTTTGGAAGCCTCTGTTTTGGGAGTGTGGAGGACGGAAGGCAGAGGTGGAGTATTCCAGAATGCCAGTGGTAGATGAGCCTGTAGCACAAACTTGGTGTATAGTGCTGGACTGTCCTGGCACCTCCACTGCTTAGACATGAGGCTCTGCAGATGGCCAGCCCCTGAGGGTGTGTGGCCAGGGCGGGTGTGCTGAGGCCACATGTGCTTTGGCCCCAAGAAGGGCAAAGGGGTGGGCCCCTGAGTGTAGAGGGGTCGAATTCTGGTGACCATGGTGGCTTCTCCCTGATCCTGACCCCACCCCTGTGCCAGCCTTGCTTCCAGCTAGCATTGCCCTGGGGCTGGACAGAAGCTGAGGGATGGGGCCAACTTGGCTGAGGGGTAGACAACTGGCCCTGGGAGAAGACTCAGGCTAGAAGGCCCTGTGGCAGCGAGGAGGAGACAGGGCAGGGGACCTCCCCTGAGGCCAGCTTCCTGGGCTGTCTGCCCTGTGCCTGGGGAGTGCTCTGGGTTACAGGGGCTTGGCTTGCCTCTGGAAGGCACTCTGCCCTGTAGCCAGGAGCCCATACCTCCCTGGAGCTGGCTTCCGGGGCTGTGCCTGTGGCCAGAGGCCTGGAGACACATGCTTCTGGGCCTTGAGTGGGGCTTCTTGGGGCTGAAAGTGGCTCCCTAGCCGTCACCCATGGGGCCGTTTCCTGTCAGTGCCAGAGGGTTGGCCTGGGCAGCCTAGAGGCTGCTGCCTCTGTTTGGTGAGCACTGCTGCTGGCTCCTGTGGCTATCTGCTGACTCTCTTGGTCTGTCAGAAGCAGCTTTTATGAGTCAGTTTTGGCCTTGGGCTCATGGTCCTGCACTGGTGGCTTCTGGGCAATGTTTTGGGGTGAAGTTGGGCTTGGTGTGGGCAGACCCTGGGACACTGCTCCTTTTTACTGCCATCCTTGCACCTCCAGCAGGGTGGTGTTCATGAAGGTGGGCAGAGCTTGCTGGGCCTGGGTGGAGGGTGACCCCAACTTACCAGTGTTGGATGTACTTTTTTTAAAACAGCAATAATTAGCCATTTTAAAGAAGGGGTGTACCTGTGTGTGTATGTGTGCCTGTATTGTGTGTGCATTTGCATGAGTATGTGTGTAATTGCATGCATGTGCAGTCATTTGTGCAGCTGCGTGAGCACACACATATGTAATGTGTATGTGAGCAAATGTGCGTGTGAACACGAATGCACTTGTGCACATGGATGTGTTGGTCTATGTGTGCATCTGAGCATGCATACAGTGTGCCCACAATGTATACCACGTGAGGCCATGTACGCATGCATGTATGTGGGTATATCCACATATGTATGAGTGCGTGTGCGTGTGTGTGTGTACACATATGTGACTGTGGGAGGGAACTGGTGGGAAGCGCCTCCTGCACAGGAGGCACTTTGTGGTGAGAAGCAGGGTCCTGTGGTTGCCCCTCGCTGTGCCCGTCTCTCCTTACCTGGGCCCCTACTCGATGTGAATGTAGCATAGCCCTGCCAGGCTGAGCAAGCCTCTGCCAGTCCTTGCCCTCTCTGTCCATCTCTCTCCACTGAGGACAGGTTAGGGGAGCTGGAGGTCCCTCAAACAGGATGCTGACTGGGTTTGGCCCACGTGTGGAGGGTGCATCATGGTGGCAGGTCTCACTATTGTAGTTTATTCCTGAAGCTGTACTGTGAGCCCACGATGGGGGTGGGGGTGTCCCAAGACCCCAGGATGTGCCAAAACAGCCCCTAGGGCTAGGCGACAAGCCAAGTTTCCAAGGAGACAGGCTGGGGGCCCAAGTGGGTGTGTGCCCCCTGCCTGCACGGCCCCCAATGCTGCTGTTTTTCAATAAAACCAGAGTTGAAGGAACCTGGCTCTGTGCCTTTTTGGGATGGAGATGTAGGGCTCTCAGCTGCCTAGGCTCTCTTGCCTGCATTGGCTAGGCCAGACCCTGGAGCAGGGCTGGCAGCCAGGAAGCAGAAGTGGGGCCTCAGTGCCCCATGGGGCAGAGGCAACAAGCCCAGGCCTCCAAGCCTCTGTCTTCAGAATAGGTGCCCAGGCTCCTTGCTGGCCTAGCTGGGTAAGAGTCTGCAGCTCTGCAGACTCCCCAAATATGGTGAGTGTAGAGACAGGAGCTGGGCTGCTGGGGTGAGGCCCAGCACTCTGTTGAGCAGCAACCTGAAGGTTCTCTCCTCTCTCCCCGCTTCTTGGCACCAAGACTGGCACAGGTCAAACAGCTTGGCCCCATCCTTACTTATCTGGGGAGAACCCAGTCTACCCAGGTCCTGTTGCATATGCCTGGCCGCTGGGGGCCTGAAATCTGTGCCACTGGGGTCTCAGTCCTTCTCCTGAGTCCTGGGCCTCCTTGTCCGTCCTAGGTTCTTATTAGTCCCAATGGTTCCGGTAATCCCCAGGTGGGTGGCTCCACCACAGGTCTGGGCCCTTGCCCACCTGTCCACATTGCACCTTTAAGGGGTAGTGTTAAGATTTGGGTCTATGTTGGTGGGCATCAGGCCAACCAGGATCAGGTGGAGCCCCAGTGTGTAAAGCAGAGAGGACAACTGGAGTGGGAGGAAGGAATGGATTACTGCAGGCAGCTTTGGGGCTGGGGTAGGAAGCAGGGTGTGGAGGGGCATCAGGAATACTGGGGTGGACACAGGCCCCTGCCCTGTCACACAGGATACTGCCTTGTTGGCAAGGGACTCTTGGAACCTAAGTGTCCCCAAAATGCAGACTCTTGAGCCCAGCCCCCGGGACAGCTTTTGTGGGTCCTCCTCCCCGAACATGCGTCAGGAGAAATCAATCGTTGCACATTCCTTCCCAGCACAGCTTGCAGGGTCAGGGACTGCCCCTAAGTCAGCAGGAGGGCACTGGACTGTCTGTACCAGGGTTCAGGTAACAAACAGCAAAGCCTATCTCTGAGGACACCTCAGTGAAACCACAGCCTGTGGACCCCGAGACCTAAAGTGGAGCCCAGCCATTTATCCTAGACCCTCACAGTGCCTTCCTCAGGTGCTGGGTGTCAGCCTCCATGCTGGGAGGAGCAGTGCTTGACTGGACACCCATCAAGGACCAGCTGGGTCTGGGCCACCCCACATTTGGGACACACGGTCTGGAGCACAGCCTCTGGCCAAACAAGGGGAAGGGGGAACTGTGGACATGACTTTCCACCCACAGAAGTCACTCAGACAAGGATGAGGATGGCTTCTCAGAGAGCATTTACTCCAAGGGATGACCTGGCTAGCCCAGCCACAAAGGGTTAATGTGGTCTGCACCCATCTGGGAACCCAAAGTGCCCACTGGTGACCTTGGGGAAGGCCACACAATGAATGGGCTGGTGGAAACCAATTCTCTCTCTCCACTGTTGCCTGGGGCTACAGACAAAATAAAGGCAAAAAATGCACAAGCTGGGGTAGGTGCTGAGGAGGAGCATGAAGGCTGTGCTGTTGCTGGGAGACTTGGTGCAGCTCAGGCCCAGGACCCCAGGACCAGGGCCTTCTTCAGTGGAGCCAGGTGTCCCCAGGAGCAACCGGCACTTAGGCTCACCTTTAGGGGCACCTGTGGGTGGCAGTCAGAGGTGAGGCCCAGGCCTGGGCCAGCTGCCCAGTCACATCCCAAGACCACATACGAGTGTTGGGGGCTGCAGAGCACAACTGGGCCTGGCCATGGCTGCACAGCTACAAACAGCCTAGCCATGCACACAGGTGCACGTGTGTGCTCACCACATCCACCTGCCTGTTACGGCACCTGGGCCCTAATGGAGTCACCATCTGCCAAGCCTCAGTATCAGCGAGTGCCTGCAAGGTCACCAGGCAAGGTGCCCCTGGGTGGATGAGGTATGTCCGGGGGCAACCTGCCCCCGGGGACAGCAGCTGGAGAGGAGCCAGCTAGCTAGCGAGTCCTCTGATCCTGAGGCCCTAGGCAGAGCCCAAGCTTCTCCCTCTTGACAGGAAGGAAGGGGCTGGGCCCAGCTGGAGCCCCTGCCCAAGCAGCCCCCTGCCTCCCAAGGGCCTCCTGCTGGAAGCTGGGGTAGGGTTTCCCGAGCTTCCAGGGACTCTCTGTCCCCATGTCTGTGCCTGCTGTGGGCACGGGGTTGAGTAGACTCTACTCCAAAGGACAGTTATGTCCTTGACTGGGCAAAGCAAATGAGCAGCCCTTGATCCTGCCAAGCTGCTGTCTCTACAATGAGGTTCAAGTGTCCTGCATGTGTGGAGGCATATCCTACAGCAGCGGAACAGAGGTCAGACCCTCTTCCAAGGAGGCCCTCGAGGGGGCTTCCTGGGAACAGAGATGAGGCCACCCTGGGTAGAGGCCAGCCAGTCTCTCCATAGCCCTACTCAGTGGCTCTGAGGTGCCTCCTGTGCTGGAAACTCCTGAGTGATGGAACCACATGGGAAGGATGTGCAGATTCCAGGGCCTCCCACCTCATTATCCCTCCATTTTCCCCACTACCCTGGAAGAGCCTGCACCCAAGCACACACTGCTATTTTCCTGGTGAGGACCCAGAGCTGTTCCCAAACAGTGCCTGTCCAACCAGGAATGGGGTAGGCCTGAATTTGGACATACTCTGGCACCACTGGTGTAGGCAGGGCCCAGTAAGGGTGAGCCTCAGTGAAGGAACTTGGTTGGAGGGTGGTGGCTGCCACCAGGCTGGTAGAAGCAGCTGACACTTATCTTGTCGCCAGGTGACAGCCAAGCCACCCAGCAGAGCAGCGGCTCCTTGGGAAAGGGTAGGGCCCAGGGCCGGCCCTCTGTCATTGTTGTCCTGTCCCTGGGGTGTTGGCCCCTCAGGCCCCACCCTAGCTGAGTACTGCAGTGGGGAGGCCTGGCAGGGGTGTCCCTCTTACCTGCAGCTGTAGCTCTGGGGTCTGAATCTGCTGCAAGGACTCCATGGTCACCCTGACAAGAGCTAGAACAGGAAAAGAGAGACTCCTGCATTCTGATCAGATTCTTGGCCTCCAGGACCCAGGAGTGGAGGGCAGAGGAACATTGAAACATTCAGGCCAAGTTCTGTCCCGGTTCTCCAAGCAACCTCCTGTGTTCACAAGTTCACCTAAAACAGTTCTTCTAGGGTTCTGAGTCCTTACGTGCACCTCTGTGGCTTGTTCACTTCCCACTGGCCCAGGATGCTTCAAGAAGACCTTCCATTGCTCTGCACTGGCCCCACCCCCACCTCAGCTTGCCCCTGCCTAGGCTGGCTAGGCAGGGTGGGCCAGCACCATCTCAGCCTCCAGCTCTTGTCACAAGGCTGTGGGGCTCAAGGAAGCACTGGTTGCCCTTCCTGGACAGAGTTGTTGGGCACAGGAGACTGCAGTCCCTGATGCTTCTGGGAGAGGTCCTATGTGGCCATCACACCTGTGAGGTCAGCTCTGTGTTGCTGGCAGTGTGGCCTATTTTGGTGACTGAAGTCACCATATTTCTACACCCCCAGGTGTCCAGCTGGAGGTGCAGTCATGGAGGTCTATGTGATGCTCTGGAAGCTCCCTGGCTGCTCTGGAGCACCAAGTGCCCACTGGGCCTTTCTGGGGATCCCAAACCAAACTGATGGGGAGGTCCATGAGGGCAGAGGGGAGAGGCTTCAAGGAAATGGAAGATCTTCCAACTGCATGGGAGAGAAGTGTCCTGTGCTCCCCCGGGGCTTACCTGCAAACTCATGAATCTGTGTATCCTCCACTTCAAATAGCAGCTCATCGTGGATTTGGGCAACCAACCTGGAGGGAGGAGGAGTCACCTTGAGGGCCTAGACCCCTCCACACGGACACCTGGGCTGATCCTCCAGGGTTCCTGGAAGGTTTCCTGGCATCAGTTGTCTGAAAGGATGTGGCTTTGTGGGGGATGCTGCTGTCTGGATTTACCCCACTGCCACCAGGACAGCTCCAGGGAACTGGGAAAGGGGCTGGAAGAGGGAGAAAGCTCTTGTAGGCTTATCTGGTGGGTTGTTTCAGCCTGACCAGGCCAGGGGAACTTGGGATGGGGGAGACTCAGCATTTTACATTATTAAAACTTGGCTGATGGATGAGGAGGTGGAGGCCTGTCAAGGGTTTAAGGGGGAGGTATAGGGCCTGCTATCAAGGGTGAAGGTAAATCTAGAATGTGAGGGAAGCACTCCTCAGCTTAGAGGAAGGTGATGGAGGCAATCTTTTTAAAATTTGCATTTGAATTCAAATATACTCAATAAAATTTGGAAAATAAAATTCAAAGGTGCAAAAATTAAAAATCATCTTAGTGTCCCCCCCAATTATAAGGGGCACTTGGGGTGGCCTAGCTAGGAGTGAACATGCATTTTTTCCTGGTGACAGGTGCCCTTATGGAGGCCGCCTGGACATCTGGGCACCTGGCCACAACCCTGGCCAGGCTCTGGCTTCATGGGCTGAGCTCAAGGACTTCATCATCAGCTCCTAAGCCCTTGGGCTGGAGACAAGCCAGATGCTTCTTCCCAGATCCCCACATGGGACTGAGTTCCTGCAACACAGGCCATGCTCCAAGGCTCTCCAGGACCAATCCTTCACCAGCAGTCCTATGCAGCCCTGTAGTCTCTCCTGGTGTCAAGAGGAAGAGGAAGCTAGCACAGAACTGGCAGAGATTGGGCAGTGATGAACTGCTGGGCCAGAAGCTCAGGCAGGGCCTCCAGATTCAAGTGGGGGGAGGGGACAGATACAAATATGGATAGGGTGGGAGATGGAGTGCTGGAGACCTTTGAGCGTTCAGATCTTATAGGTCCATGTTGGCACCCAGAACATGTACCAGCGTGCCACCACCCCACATGCTTCTTGGAGGGTGGAATGCAGGTTGGTCACACTCCCAGGAAGACACTTCTTCAGAACCCTTGTGGATGTGCTTAGGGTTGTGGGCCCCTGACCTGGTGCCAGCCCTCCTGTGGGGTGGACAAAGGTGATGGTCCTGCACACACAGGGAGCAGGTACTGGTAACTCAGAAGGTGGTCAGGAGAGTCTGCAGACTCCTGGAAAGGCTGGGAATCAGTAAAGGGTCCCATGTGTTCTGCCTTGTGTGGCTTCAGCTCTGTCTCCTGAACTGGACTATGCTTCCTGCTCTGGGCCCCTGCATGGTATCTGGAAGCTGGGGTTCAGGTGTGATGAGGCTCCAGCAGGCAATGGTCCTAGGGTTGTGATGCTGAGCCCCAGCTGGGAGGAGGGGGCAGCTTTCCAAATGCCTGTGCAGGAGATGGGCCATACTGACACTTGATAGCAGAAATCCATGGTGGCCTGTCCCATCCATCTTCCTCTCTCTCTCCATGTCACTGCTTGCTGTTGGGTGGGGTGGAGATGGGTAGCCTATATCCCTAGCATATGCCACACTTCCGAGCCTTGCTCTCAGATGCAGTGGTTCAGGAGGTGCAATTTACTTCCAGGAAGGCTTTTAAGGGGCCACCACGGCCCAGGAACAGGTGCTCTTTTTTGGGGAGTGGTACTGGATTTGAACTCAGTACCTGCAAGGTGGGTGCTGTAACACTTGAGTCACATTTTAGTTATTTTTCAAGTAGGGTCTTGTGTTTATGCCAGGGCCAGCCTGAATGCTGATCTTCCTATTTATGCTTCCCACATAGCTGGGATGACAGTTGTATGCCACCATACCCATCTCTTATTGGTTAAGATGGGTCTTGCTTATGTTTTGCCAGGGCTGGCCTTGAATGGCAATTCTTCAAGTAGCTGGGGTTATAGGCATGAGCCACTGTGCTAGGCCTATAGGTGCTATTTTGACCATCACTACTTCTCCTTTTGCCTGGAAGGTGTTGTGATGGTCAGAGCAGCTACCTCCAACATGCTACCAAGAGGGCAAGGGCCAGGGAGCCAGAGGGATTTTGGTCCTGCTGACCTGAGCTTGCAAAACAAAGTCAACAACCACCATGTGCTGTCTCACTTTTGGAGCCCAAGCTACTGTTAGCTGGGCCATGCAACTAGTGACTGAGTGCACATCCTAAAGGTTATGTGTGTATAGGGATGTCACACAAGGCCCAGGCCATGGAACAGTGATGCACACAGCCTCTGAGACACCCTCAGGGAGATGTGCCTGCATTTCAGATGCAACCTCAGCACTGTTCTTCCAGAGGCCAGATTGTGGTGTATATGCAGGGGCCAGGCTGCAGCGTTGGTGTGCACTCTCGTAAACTAACTTCAAGGTATCTGGCAGGGTCTTTGGTTCCCAAGAGGCTCACTCTTCACATGGCAGAACCTCAGAAAAGGCACTTGTAAATCTTTCCAGATTTAGCAGAAACACTTTCACACTTCTTGAAACCACATCGTGAAATCTGAGCTGCCGGTGTGGCAGGCCCTAAGAATAGGTGTGACTGTTAGTCAGTCGCTCAGCACCCTCACAGCCACTGAGACACCACCATGCTTCTTGCTGGAAAGTGGGGCGCAAGAATAAACCAGGGTGGTGGAGGAACACAGCTCGGACCTGACTGCCAAGCTGCCCCTGCTCAGAGAGGACATGGAGCTACTGAGTTTGCATCTGGTTGACCTGACTAAGCCCAACAGATCCTGGCTCCTTGAGGGAACGTTCCAGAAGGGCCTTACCTTATCTGCTTGTTTGGGGCCTTCTGGGCAGCTCCCTTCCAAGGGCATCTCCAACTGTGCTGAGTCCCTTTGTGAGTTCATCCTGAGAGTGCACCTGTGTGGTGATCCCCTGCCTCAAACTCACCTCCAAGAGGTACAGGATGGGAGACCCACAGATCTGAAAGGGTGACCAGCTCTGGCTGGGCTCTGCATGAACTTGGACAAGTCACATCATTGTCTGTGCCTTGGTTTCCCCTTCTCTACACTCAGTGAAAATCACTGGTGGTTAAACCACTGAGTGAGAATTGCCTGGGCTCAGCTTTCAGAGGGACCTCTCACCAGCAGAAACCCCAAGCCTTCACATACAAGCTTCTTTTACCACAAATTCCACAAAAAACAAATATGAGGCAACTTGTCTAGTCTTGCAATACTGAGGATGTATAGCAAGCATATGCGTTTCTGCAACAGCCATGATGAAAGACCAGTGCAAACTTCTCATACCTGCCAAGAGCTAGAATTTACTAAGACTGTGGAAGTGGCAGGATGTCACAGACTCCAGGAATCCCAGAGAAAACCCTTGGCCAGAACACGTGCATGGGTGTGCACATGCAAGGAGGAGAGCAGAGAGAAGGAAGAAGGGACAGGAGAAGTGGGGTGAGGCAAAGCTTTACAGTCTACTCCCCCCTGTTGGCCATTCCTGGACTGGACTAAGCTGGGTTCTCCTGGGCTCCAGGGATGGCAATCCTGCTGAGTTGCTTCTCTCCAGAGAGGAAGAGGAAGTGCTTGGTGCAGGGTTGCAAAGGGCAGTGGCCAACAGTGCTTGGGCTGGGCACAGCCTCCTGTCCTCAGCTCTACAGGGCACCACCCCACAGTGCATATTCCTATGCAGAGCTGCAAAAATCACCAGAAAATAGAGACTCAGATGTGAAAATGGACTGGCTGGGGAGATATAAAACTTTAAAACAATGATGAGAGATCTCTTATAAAGGAGAGTTCTGCCTTGAGCACGCAGAGTATTAGAGGCCAAAAGAAAACTGTGAGCTTGGATGGAAGGGGGCCAGGGATAAGCAGGTCTCATTAACAGGTGGGACTGTGGGGCTGTGGGGCTGCAGCATGAAGGCCAACAAGACATGCTTCACACTCATGATCTAGAGAAGTTGCAACTTCCTGCCAGAAGCTTCTCTTCCCGGTGGAGGTGCTGATCTACCTGGACAGCGAAAGGGGCACTCTGACCTGCACAGGCCACCCCACAGGACTGGTTCCAAGAGAATGAGCCTCAAGGTGGGGTGGAAAAACACATGAAGGGTGGAAGGATCTAGGCCCTTTGGGGGCCTAATATGATCGCCTCTTTGAGTGACTGCAGGGGTTGACAGGCAGGAAGGGTCCAGGGATCCTTGAGAATCTGTACCCCAGAAGGAGAGCAAACTCTAGGTGGTGGCCTACAGCCAACCACAGGACCTCATTTGCCAGGAGGAGGTGGATGAGGTGAGGGCTCTTTGTCTCCTTTTTACCCCAGCACTCTAGGCATGCACCCCAAGGGGAGTCTGCAGGACGGACCTGAGAGAGCTGTGGGTGGGGCAGGCATGCTGGTTCTGGGGACCAGAATCAGGGGCTGTAGCGGCAGGTCCTGGGGTGGGCAGGGGGGCAGCATAGGCTTCCCACATCCTGCTCCAGGGCTGTGAGCTCAGGGTTCGCTTGTCTCGGGGATGTTGCCCCTTGAATTGGGCCTCCTCTGCAGAAGGCCCAAGAAGGCCTAGGGGACAGCATTTTCTGCCTCGACTCTCAGCCTGTGCCTGTGAAGGCCAGTTGTTACCTGCACACTTGGTAGAGCAGGCCCTATCCCCTGTGCCAGGCTGCAAGCCTCCAGGAGCTCAGGCTCAAGAAGGCCCTTTGCTCTGTGTGGTGAGCAGCCAGAATCAAGATCCCACAGATGGGAACAGTGGGTCCAGCCCTGGGCATCCTGCACAGAACAGACACCCCCTACCCATAGAGCCCCAGCAAGGGCTGAGCTGGAGCAGACTGAATGTTCCTACTGACCTGGCCGTCAGGGTCGGGGAAGTGGCCACTGCAGTGAAGATTCGGATCATGGCCATCTTACAGAGGTCTGCAGCAGAGCCTGTGGACACAAAAGGCTCTGTTTGAGGGGTCCATGTGAGTGGCACATACTCAGCACATGAGCTGCTTTTATAGCACACACTGCTGACTGTGAGCTACCTGTACACCCTGGCTAACAATTAAGGAGTTTTACAACTGGAGGCAAACAAGGCATCCTCACTCCCCCAGCCACCTATTCCTGCTCAGCGCTGTGGGGTATGGGCTTTGGATGCCTTATTCTGGAGGCCTGACCCAGGACAGGCCCTGAGGGTATGACATCAAGAGTTCTGAGACTGGCTCTGCTGCTCTGGCTAGGCTCCTTCGAACTTGGTTTCCCACTTGTAGGTATGGGGACAGTCTGGTCTTCATGGCTCTTGGGGAAATGTCTTAACTATAAACATAACCCTGTGCTGAGCAGCTGCCACACATAGCTGCAGTGACACTCACACCTCCTGACAGTCACTGTCAGGTGTGACAGGTGAGGGTCAGGAAGCTCCTGTGATAATGTTCTCAGGAGCAGGGAGTACCAAACCCAAGGAGCAGGTGGACACAGAAATGTGGCAAAGAAGCCAGCACCTGTACCTTGTACCATGAAGTTCACTGCCTGTCGCTCTGCTTGTGCCCGGAGCTGCTGGTCCTGTGCACAGATCTTAGGCAGTGGCCTTCTCCTGCCCATAATGGATGTCACATAGCCTGGGTTACAGGAAGGAGAAACAGACAAGAGACAGAAGCAAACAGGTGGCACAGTGCTTCTGAGGGCACAGCATCCTCTCCACCTCATGCTGATGGGGACTTCCCCTGGGGGCCATCTGGGGTGTTTCCAGGGCAAATGAGATCTGTGCAGGAGAGCACAGGCCTGCAGTGCATGGCCTCCACTGGTCACTTGTCAAGCTTTTGCTCTTTTCTGGCTTCTAGATACGTAGGACAAGGAAGGGCAGTTTTTATCCCATAGAAGTTCAAAGCTGTTCATGTGGCTTGGGCACAGGAGCCATTCTGGACTGCGTGACAGCTGCAATGTGGAGCAAGAAGTAAGCAGCCATGTCCCCACATGAGGGCATATCCAGATCTATGGGGCCTGAAGCTTATGCAGTTTGGGGCCCTTGAGAAAATGCATGCAGACATGCTGCACTGGTTGAGTATGTTTCCAGTCATGAAGACTTCTGTTTTAAACAGTGTGTATGAGAAACAAATCCTTCACTTGTGCATTTACAGGTCTGAGGATTGGAAGAATTCCCCACATACACAATTTTTTTTTTTGTAATGCACCCAGGGCCTTATATGTGCTAGGCAAGAGCTCCACCCCCAGCCTCAAGGTAATAACAGTAAAGTGACAGCATGTTGAGATAGTGCACTGAGCACCTGCACCATGCTGGGCGTCATAGTAACTGGCAGTAAAGATGGGGAGCTGAGCTTCTGACTTGGCATGCTCACTGCCTGCAGCTTCGCACGGCTCGTGGCTTCTGACTGGCTGCTGGGTATCGTGGATTTTATGTTGTCGGGTGCTTGCCACGTTAAAGGCGCTTGAAGATCTCCTTGGTCTTCTGAGGCCTATCTTCAACCTTTGCTGGAAGGTTGTAGCAGACTCTCCCCTAGGGCTTGTTTAGACCTCCCTGTAAGGTATGGTCCTGCTAAACTTTTTACTGACTGTCTCAGATGTCTGAGTCTCTACTTTGGATGGTCAGAACCCAGACATCTTCGGCCCTGTGCGAACTCTGGCTGCTCCCAGTGGTTATTCTGCTGAGGTCTCTCCTGCACTGTGGTGTGTGTCTCTAGACATGGGTATTTACAGGACTTATCTCATTTGTCTTTTCTCTGTAACCAGAGCAATATGCTGCACACTATCTGGTGCCTGAAAATTGTTGCTTCATGTACTTTGCCCAGTTTTCTAGGGTGTTGCTTTTTATTTGTGGTAGTGGGGATTGAACTTCAGGCCTTGTGATTACTACTCACTACTAGTCTACCACTTGAGCAACACCCCCAAGCCCGTTTTCCAGTTGTTTATGGAGTGACTCACTGTAGTCCAAAGCAGATGTCACCTGCCTCCACACATTCCAAACCTTGTTTCTCTTCCACCCAGTACTTCCAGCACTGGTGATCATAGTTCTTATTAAGACCACAAAAGGACCTCGAGCTCTGCTCCTTTACACTGGCTCTCAGAGTGGACGCAAAGCTCCTAGAAGCCATTCCCACGTAGGGGATGGTTGGCATCCCTCCACTATACATGGAAGGAGCAGTGAACCATGGGAATATCAGCACAGAGATCTACATGAAGGGAATCACCACCTCAGCTTCCCCTTAGTTGAATGCCAGAAATGGCTGTGGACCCTCCAAGGCCCCCTGTCATAGGAAAAGGTAAGGTAGAGGAAGCTGGAGCAGAAGATGCAGCAGTCTTGGTTGACTGCAGTTGGGAATCCTTGCTTTTGCCAATTTTACAAAAGGTGTGACCACCTGAGCATGCTGTGGGCTTCTCTGGGGCCCACGGGAGGGATGCGTATCAAGTGTATTGGGGTTCAGGAAGGTCAAATGCACTGACACATGAGAGCCTGACCCCACTCACATTGGAAGCCAGCAAGGTGTCTGAGATCCCAACCTTTCTCTCATATCCTTCTTGAGCTGTTACTTCCTTGGCATCTCTTACCTGTCAACCACCTCTGCTATGAGTTAATGCCTCTATCTCTTCTAGCCCATTCTGAAGTGGTGGCTCTGGCTTCAGACTCTCCTTCTTATCTCTTTAGCACACTATTACTGGAATAATTTTTGAAAGAAGAAACCCACATTCCTTTCATATGGAATACCATGTGTAACATGGGCTCACCTGGCCCCATTTGTTCTCTGGTCTATGCACCTGTCCAAGTCTCCTCACCTATCCATACTGGGCACTTTCTCCCCTGACTCTTACTATACTTTCAAGTCCCAACCCAGGTCACTTCCTCAAGAAGGGTGTGGCTGGCAGCTATACTGGGTGCTGTCTGTTGCTCTATGCCTCATGCCCTGTTTGTTCCTTCCACTTGTAAAGCACAGTCTCTCTGTTGTGTCTAAATGTTCTTGATCACTGGTGCACTCTCTATTTCCTCTTCTGAACTGTGAGCCCCAGAAGAGCAAGAATCTGGTATCCTGGTGTCAGTACAGTGTCTGGCAAGTATCAGGTACCCAGAAAACACTGCCAATGAATTCAGTAATTGTTTTAGTGTGCATTTACAGCATCTGCTCAGAAGTGTAACTGCTGGGTTAAAGGCCATGCATACTTCTTGTTTGGTTACATAACACCTCACATCCCTTCAAGAGAGTTAAGCACAAGGATGGGAGGTGATGCCTGTAGCAGGGAGATGCACTGGGATGTGTCCTGCTGTCTCATTCTACTGTGAGCTATGTGGCTTAGACAGCTTCTTAATCTCCTGGTGACTCATTTTATTCTGCTGTAAAATGGAGGGAATAATATCAACCTCTTCTTAGATGTGGTGAGGATTACATGAGTCACTTTACGGAAAGCATTTAAAAATCACGCCTGGCATATAGTATCTGCATTGTGACTCCATATGCCCTCATCAACACTGATACTGTTACCATAAATCAGCTGGCTGGGGTCCTTCTGCTCGGCCCAGATAAAAATCATGGGTAGGCCAGGAGAAACTCCTCCAGTTATTTGGCTTCTCAGTGCGTGTTTGTAGGCAGCAGCACTGGACTCAAGGTAGTGAAGGCTTAGCAGTTGTGAATTAGGGAAATAAGACTCCCCAGACCCCTCATCTCAGTACATTTAAAGGAAAAATAAACTTTCAAAAGGGTGCTCACAACAAGGGCTCATGTGCTTTAGCAGTGTTTAGCAGTGCTCTAGTGCTTCTTAACTCCTGTCGGGGAGGACCCGGATTCCTACCATCTGCTTCACTATCATGATTTCAACCTTTCAAAATTGACAGTATTTTAATTTTTGTTAAATATGGGGCTCCTGATCAGGTAATGATCAGAGCTTGTGAGCTCCTGGGGGCTGCTCTCTCCTGGCCCTGGCAGCCTGAGGCCTGTTGGATGATGGAAACATTCTTTTTTTTTTTTTCTTTTATTATTCATATGTGCATACAAGGCTTGGGTCATTTCTCCCCCCTGCCCCCACCCCCTCCCTTACCACCCACTCCACCCCCTCCCTCTCCCCCCCCAATACCCAGCAGAAACTATTTTGCCCTTATCTCTAATTTTGTTGAAGAGAAAGTATAAGCAATAATAGGAAGGAACAAGGGTTTTTGCTGGTTGAGATAAGGATAGCTATACAGGGAGTTGACTTGCATTGATTTCCTGTTGGCCTCAGTTGCTTTTAAGGTATCTGCTTTAGTTTCTCTGCGTTGAGGGCAACAAATGCTATCTAGTTTTTTAGGTGTCTTACCTATCCTCACCCCTCCCTTGTGTGCTCTCGCTTTTATCATGTGCTCAAAGTCCAATCCCCTTGTTGTGTTTGCCCTTGATCTAATGTCCGCATATGAGGGAGAACATATGATTTTTGGTCTTTCGGGCCAGGCTAACCTCACTCAGAATGATGTTCTCCAATTGGATGGAAACATTCTGCTGGCATTCTCAAGCCCTGAATGCACCCACATATGCAGGCCGGAGATGAGGCTGTAGAAACCAAGTTCTGAGTGTGCTGGGGGCCCAGGGAGGCTCCCCTTATGGGTGAGCAGGAAGCAGCCAGGCCCCACATTGCCCAGTGCTATCTGCTGGTAGGCCATGGAGGAGCCTGTGGTGGGCAGCCCTGGACTTATAGGTTGTGGCACGGGCTCTAGGTGACAAGTTCTTGAGGAGTCCCTGGAAGGATCTGAGGTACTGTAGGCTGCAAAACAGATGGTGCTTGCACCCTCAGGAGACATACTAGAGCCATTTAGAGTTGTGGGTCTTGGCCAGGCCAGTCTACTAGTCACTCACTGGTGAGTGTTGGTTTGTGAATGCTTTCTGCACCAAATATTAATATTTTTGTTGTTTACTTTATTAATTTCTGCTCTATTTATTTCTTTCCTTTTTATTAATTTACTTTGCTTTTCTTCCCCAAATTTCAGTGAAAAATTCAACAATTCATTTATAGTTATAAATTTTTCACTTTTTAAAATACTCTTGGGGGTGGGGATGTGGCTCAATGGTAGGGAGCCTACCTAGAAAGCTCGGAGCCCTGAACCTCCACCCCAAATACTCTTCAATATATTCCTTTATTGCCATGTAAAAGCATTAGTGTGGTCAAATCCCATGGTTTTTGATGATATACTATCGTTTATCTCTAATATTGTGTCCTTTTTGTAAAACGTCCCTTTTTTCTGTCTTAAATTACTTAAAATCATGATACACTTCCAAATAGGTATGTGCACGAGCAGCTACCCTCAGAGAGATGAGCATAAAACTGTTTGTGGTCACCAACAGGTTCTATTTGACAGTCTTTAAAATCTGTTTTTTCCTTTGTGACCAGACTGTGGAGATACCTTTCACAGGAATATGTGTCTCCATTTTTCTGTGCAGGGTTTTATCTGTTTGCTTTTACCTATATATCTGTACAGCTATCATTTGTTAGCTCAAGCTTGTTCATTTTGTTGCTGTAGGAGTAGCCTGGTTCTGGCCCCTTCCCATTGATTTTGGACCTCTTGCAGTCAGAGCTGATGACTCACCCAGTCACCTACCTTCCACCCTCACCAACACAGCCACACCTGTCCACACTGCCCAACCATCTGTCCATGCACCTAGCCACAGAGCCATGAACCACTGGCCACTGGACGGGGAGAGGGAGCAGGGGCTGCCAGGGGCTTAGTTATGGCTGGTTTACCTGTATGTTGACACTGGGCAATAGCTGCTTTGGCAAAGTCCTTGATTTTCTTGTACTTCTGCAAAAAACTCTCCAAAAAGCAGGTGGCTTCCTGAACAGTAACTCCAAGGCAAGCTGCAAGTCGCTCCTTCCCTGTGAATCAGAAAGATGCATAGTCAGACTCCAGGCCTAACCTACACCAGGTGAGGTAGGGCTACCAAAAAGCATGTGCCCAGGGGATGACCAGTTATACAGAAATGAGTAACCCCAGGCCTCAGGGACACGTGGCACCCCGAGTCTTTTCTGGTTGGTGAGGACATATTGAGTTCAGACTTCACACACTGGGTGCTGGGTGCCATTGATATGGACTGGGCCAGTAAACACTTATTTTCTCAACAATGTTGACTTTCTGCCAGGTGCTGCAGGTAAACTGTGAATGAAGTAGATACAATGCTGTTCTGATCTTGGCTAGCAGGAAATCTGACTACAGAAATGGGGGAGGCTGGAGGGGTCCCAAAGGAGAAGAGGAAGGCAAAATTCCCTGCCAAATAGTCCCTGGACTTAGAATGTTTATTCTATTGTGGAGCACCTGCTTGGGGTTTAGACTGGTACTTTACTCTTGGGAGAGGCAGGGCTCTTGTGAAGGAGCCTGTGGGAAGACTGAGGTGAGCACAGTGTCTGAGCCTTCTGCTTGCTGGGTGCAGGTGCTGGAAGTACACAGGCCTGGGTCTGAGTCCAGCTCCACCATCCATGGAAGGTTCTGAGCAGTCTTGGGGAAGTCATCTAGGAACAATAGTCCTGACCCCCAGAGTTGTTAAGGGAGCCTTGGAGGGAATCCAGAGATGCATTCCTGGAAGATCATTGCTAGGGCTTGCTGTCCTCTGCCTGGGGCCAACTCTGCACCATACTTGAGGGTACCCAAGGGGCCTTCAGACAGAATGGGCCAGAAATCATGGCTCAGGGATAGAGACACAGGTCTAAGAAGTCAAGGAAGGGACCTCCAAGGAGTGAGACTGACTGCCCTTGCAGATCTGGTCCTCTCTTCAGCCAGGCCATACCTGGCCTTGGATAGCTGAAGCCTTCAGCAGTCCTGAGCAGCAATAATGTTGGAGTCCTTGGTCAGCGAAGAGGTATTTTCTTCTGTTACTCTGCCAGGAAGAGTTCTCCCTAGAGTTTATCCCAGAAGAAAGAGATTAAGCTATTTGAGCCTCTGTTGCTTTCTCTATGCCCAGGCCTGCCTGAATATTCAGTCATTTGGCCAGAAAGGAAAAACTCTAAAAAAAAGATAGTATGATATCTTCACAAATACATATATCATGTGTTTTGCTATGTTTTACTGAAATAATCCATCTATAAAGCTTTTTTCTCTCAGATTCCAATCGCTACCCCTCAGCTCTGGCATGGCTACTGTCTTTCAGAAAGGAGTCAGGTGGTAGCTAGGCCCCTCAAACAGGTCAGCCAGATGGGACTTGTGTCCTCTCCTTAGCCAAGTCTTTTCCTCATCTCTAATCTGATGTTTGGCCCATTGGTGTAAGTTTTATTTCAGATATTGTAGTTTCCGGTTTTAGACTTTTCATTTGGTTCTTTTTATTACATTTGACTTCTTTTTTCTCATTTATTGTGAGTACATTTTCCTTTATGTCTTTGAGCTTAGTTACAATAGCAGCTTCGAAAGCCTTGTCTGCTAATTCTGATGTCTGGATCATCTCAGGATCTGCTGCCACAAATACCATTTCTCTTAAGTATGGTCAAGCTGTCCTGTTTCTTCATGAGCTTAGGAGTGTTGGATTGCATACCAGATATTGCACATATTTTGTAGAGACTTTGGATTCTATTATGTTCTTCACAAGAGTACTATTTTTTTTTTAAGAAGACAATTTGGCTAAAATTAAACTTCAAACTGTATCTCCTCACAGTAGATAAGAGCTGAAATCCGAGGTCAGCCCTTGTAGCTTTAGCAGGGCTATCTGAAGTCTGCAGAGTTAGAGTCAGCCAGCAATCTGGGCAGAGTTCATAAGCAGAATTTGGGCTTCTCTCTTGGCTCTCTTTCTGGAATTTCTCCTTTCACTTTTCAGATTCTCTGGCTGCCCAAAACTCTGTCCTCTGGTTCTTTAAGCTAGTGAGTATCTACAGTTTTCACCACCCACAGCACTGACTGAGGCTTGCCTTCAGGTGTTAAGCTGTAAGATGGGAAACACACCCTGTACCATCCCAAGTGTCACCAACTTCCAGTTTCTGTTTTCCTTTCCAGAGCTTTCAGGTAATTTTTAAAATACTTTTGGTCATAATGGATAGTTTATGTTTGTGGGAAAGTTGGTCTGACAGAAGCTACCTGTCCATGACCAGAAGTCACAAATCTCCAAAATACTTTTGGCCAAGCTCTTCTTTGGTAAAGCTGTCAGCCTAACTGAAGTGCAGAGGGTGGTCGAGGCACCTGCCTGTGTAGAAAGCCTGCCCAAAAGAGCAGCAGATGACGTTGCAAAACCAAAAGAAGCAGAGATGAGAGACTGAGGGTCCAGTGAGCTCTCCAGGCCCTGCGGTTTTTCTTCTCACTTGTTGGCAATGGGGCTGTGACACTGAAAGACCACTGTCTCTTCCCCCAAGCAGGATAACCCTTGACTCTGGGGGCTCCTCTCTGCTATGCTTCATGTGCACTGGCTCCATTTTCCCCATGCTTTCATTCAATTGATCAGGTTTCTGCTTCTTGGTTGTAATTACATGCAGGCCTGTCTCCAGATCACCCAGCATTGCTTAGTAGGTACACTAAGCATTTTCCAGCCCTAAAACACATGAATACAGTTTGACTTTTCCCAGATGGCTAATTATATCCTGTGTGTGTATGTTCACATACATACATACAGGCTCACGCATTGCCACAGATTTAACTTCAGTAAGACCTCTTCACTCCTTCTCCTCTAAGTGCTGCCCCTCACATATTGCTCACAGTCTCTCATTCTCATTTCTGTCTTTAGTGCTGAAAAAGTTCCTAGCCCACAGGAGGCCCCAGGAACACTGGCTGTTCTACCTGCACAGACCTCCCCATACAGTCCAGCTGTTGCTGCTCAGGCAGCTGCCCAGGCTCTAGGGTTCCATCCACAGAATCAATCCTCCAGGTTTCCTGGGCACCAGACTCAGCCCTGCTTGTTTGTCTCTTCTGGTGGAGACAGTCCCTTTGGGAGCAGGTCCTGGGGCCTCAAGTACTGTATTGCTGGAGCAAGGCAGGCCTAGCATACCACACACACTCGGTAAGTGCCTGCTGATTGCGCTATGACTAGATGTGGCGCACGGCACGCTGAGGAATCATTGAGAGGGCTCAGTGTTAGGCCAACTCTCAGAAAGTAGGAATTCAGCAAGCCTTGGAAGTTGCTTCCTGCAGAGTCCAGGTTCCTGCTGTGCTCAGAGGTGGCTGTAAACATGCCCAGCTATCTGGTACCTAGTAAGTTGGCAGATATTGAATGTGGCTGACTGAAGGAGGGGCAGTGAGCCAGTCCTGGGTCAAGTCTCCAGATAACCCAAGAAGTGCATAAGTCTGAGGTGGTATGGGGCCAGGCCTGCCTCAAGGGCTGCAGGGTGCTCAGCATATGCACCAGCATTCCTCTTGAGCATCCTCTCTGCTTGTTTCACAGCCCTGCAGCTTCCTCCTCTATTTTCATCACCATCCTCTCATTTTCTCAGGAATGCGCTAGAATTATGCTTCTGCTGTGGCAAAACTTTCCTATCAGCAGCTTCCAGGCTGCTCAGAGGTGGCTTCTGCAAACATCACTGCACTCCATGGAGAGCTGCCTGGGCCAAAGCCCCTCCACTGGCTTTCCTAAGGCCTCAACATCCAGGGACCTGGTGGTTCACTTGGGTCCTTGGTCTACTTATCAGCAAGGTTTTATTTCAAGCAAGGGAGAACAGGGACACAGCCTGAGTAAGCCAAGCAGCAGATACATGGTAATTACGGCTGTCAGGTGGAGTGGGGACAACAGAGGCAGTGGAGAAGGAGGCTTAGGGTGGGAGCCCCTGTCACCATCAGGGCTAAAAGCAGCCAAATTACTCCCTTTGCCACCATTGCAGTCAATGACTCATTGCTTATTTACACAGTACACTTCTTTTCCTCTTCAGAAAAAATAAAGTGAAAGCTCCAGAAGGAGCACAGGCAGCATGAAGCTACCTTTCTCTGGTGTGCTGCCCATGGTGGGAGGGACAACCCTCCTATCCTCCTGGAGCACAGCCTGCCACTGGAGGGAACGAGTCAGGCAAATCTAAGGAGTTGCACATGCATCCCACATCCTCCTGACTGAGTTTTGGCACCAGCCCCAAGTTGGAGGTAATCAGGAGTTCTCTGGAAGCTGCTTGGTTTCTTGGACTGTTTATCAACATAGCACAGCAATGAAGCAGGACCTAGACAGGTGGTAGATGGCACAGATGCAAGTGAACTCTGCCAGGTGCATCCCACCCCAGTAACTCTATAAGGACATTTGCTGAGGAGGTGGAGGGCCTCACATAAGGCCACCCGGTTAGGAGCTGATAGTCCAGATTCAGCCTAGGCAGATGGAGGAGTCAGCATTGGGCCTGCAGAGCTGGAGCTCCTGGCATGTCTGGAATAAGGATGCAAGGCATCAAGAGCTCATCTACTTGGTAGAATGTTGTCTTCCCCAGGATAGAGACCCCAGAAAGGTTCAGGGCTCAGTGGGGAGAAGGTTGAGGAGGAAACGGGCCAGCACGTCTGAGGAGATCTGCTAGTGTCACTCCTACCCCCCATGCTCAGTTCTGGTCTCCCAGCCTGCTTTCCAGACACTGTACACAGTTGGAATGTCTTCAAAGGCTCATTAAGTATTGTGTGGTTCTCTGTGCCACACAAGCAGAACTGATGGGGGCTCCTGCCTTCCTGGGCTCACATTCAGGTTGGGTGTGAGACCCTGAGAAGATGAGCATGTGCAGAGATGGCTGCCAGTTGTCTTTCAAGACTGAAGTGGCCACAGTGCAGGCCACAACAGGAAACAAAGCAGAGGAAAGTGGAGCCTTTCCCAGTCAAACCTCAGATAAGACCACAACCCCAGCCAGCACTCTGAATGCAGCCTGAAGCGGACACACAGCAACTGTGAGGTAACAAACAGGTGTTGTTTTAAGGTGCTGTTTGTGGCAATGTTACCCAGAGATGGGTAACTGATAGGGCAGTGGAGGACATCTGAACAATGGAGAGGTGAGTGAAGATCTGACATGAGGGGTGAGCTCTGTGCTTGCAGGAAACCTTCCCACAGAGGGAAGGACAAGTGTAAAGCTTGCGATCTGGGAGGGACACTCTGGATGCACCTCCAGGACACCATGGTCATGGAGACTGTGAGGCGTCTCAGGGGACAGCTACTGCTGTCTTCAAGTTTGCACTGGGGCTTGGGCAGTATTGCTGCCTTTCCTTGAAGGAGCAGAAGGCTTGTGTAGCCAGGAGGTGAAGCCTCTTCTCAGGGTCTTTGCATAAGTCCCTCAGCTCAAAGTGCCAATCAAGGAAAGGAGGTCCACAGCAGATGGACTCACTCAAGAAGGCGCCAGTATAGCCTTTCCTGAGGGAAAATCAAGCTCCACTTTAGCATGACCCAAAGGGAGACAGAACCAAAACGTTCTAGAGAATTCAGTCAGGGAGAGGAAGGGAGAGAATGGGAGATAAAGAAGGTGGAAGGGTTGTTTTACCTGGGTCCTGGGAAGGGAGAGGAGGAAGAAGGGAAAGGAGGGAAGGCAGAGGAGGGTGCAGGGCAGTTTGTTCTTGAGCATGTGCTGAGTAGAACTGAGACAAATCAGAGCCCATGTTGAGGTGGTTTAACTCTGTAAGACCTTGGTGTGTAGATGGATGAAGTCTCCAAGCACAGAATGATACCCGGCACACACAATGATGTATGTTTGAGCCTGATCACATCCTCCATACCTCCTCTGTTCCCCCTTCCCCCAAAAGGCTCGGTTGTGATGCTGTGAGTTGGCAGGTTACACAAATGTCAGCATAATGTTTGTGTAAAACACACACAGGGACTCACAGAGTGATTCACCTGAAGCACTGTCACACTTAAAACACAGGTGCACAGCCTTTAGCTGATAGGTGACCCCAAGCTCTCAGCCCACCTGCTCCATAGACAATCGAGTACACCACCTTCTTGGTCTGCTCTCTGTCCACGTGTGTCACGTGCTCCATGGGGATGTCCTTCCTGAGTGGAAAGATGGCATGCCATCAGGTACAGTTGGCACAGAGAAGCATTAAATACAAACCATGCAACTCTTCCCCTCCCTGGAGGTTCCTCACCATTTTCAGCTAGGCCTATCCCATGGACAGTGGAGATGTGTGATACATGCAGCATCCAGCTTGCTCAAGGCTCCCAAACAGACACTAATGGCAAGGCTGCAGCAGCCAGAAGCAAGCCAAATGTCAGCACCTAAATTCTGAGTGCCGTTTTCACCAAAGGATTCCACCCAGCTCCAGATGAAGCTGCTCCTGTGCTGGGGCCTGGGCCTGAGCCACAACTGTAACTGCTATGGAGGTGAGATGGTTTCTAGTCCTTTCCAGTTCCCATGAGCAGCCTCTTCCTTGGCCTCCCACAGACAGCAGGGTGAGCTTTGACCCATGGTTGTAGTGTTCAGACAGAATAAGAATAAACTCTACATCTGACTGCATCCAAATCAAACCAGTCTCCAACGATTAAAGCTAGCACAACTGAGGGCAGCTGGTGGAGTAGCTCAAGCGGTAGAGTGCCTGCCTAGCAAGCGTGAGGCCCTGAGTTCAAACCCCAGTGCCACCAAAACAAAAACAAACAAAAAGCTAGCACAACTGAGAACACAGGGCCTCACAGACGCCACCAAGAGTTGTTCTTCCCTGCCTGGGCATCCCCCAGGCCATGCCAGATGCCTCCCTCTGCCTGATGCTCTTGCAAAGATCTCTAATATCTCCAGGAGGCGTCCGTGATGGACTGAGCACACAGATGTGGAGCCAAAAGACACAGAGAGAGACCAGTCTTCGTGGTTAGCTCTGTGCTGGGCTCTCTTCATTGCTTAACTAGGCTGCTCCCAACTCTTCCTTATCCTTCACTTCCAGCTTGCATGGAGCCTTGAGACCAGCCCAGGAGAAAGCTAAATTTCCTTTAGTCTTTTCTGAGCATGAGAGCTGCCCTGGGCACACACAGTGATTTCCAGATTTCCCAGTGTACATGGTTGCTTTTGAATGGCCTAATTTCCCAAGAATCTCTCTCCCCAGCTTTTCTTCTAAAGTTTTCCAAGGCTCTCTGTTTGTATCACCTATAATTTTTTGCCTCACACAACTGCAGGTTTTTTGCCTTATAACAAATCACCACTTTTCTGCAAGTGGATTCCAAGCCAGGTGAAGCACTGCAAGCAGCTGTGTCAGTCCTTCAGGCAGCCCCTGACAAGTGAGAGTGGGCACATGCTTCTTTGCAAATGGGGCTCTGCTCCTTCTAGAACAAGAGACGAGGTCCCAGGCAGGAGCTAGCAGCACGGCTGCCATGGAGAACCAGCTGGGGGCAGAAGGGCAAGAGAAATTCTCCTACCACTCTCAAATTGCTGTTTTCCTGACAGCATTTGCCTGCCTGGAGCAAACCTTTTCTTGTCTTCCAGGGCTCTGATGAAGTCATTTCTGGAAGCTTCTGCCTTGGTTTCAGTGTTTCTGGGGGGATGGGCCCACAGAGCTGCCTTCTCCACCATTTTCACTGATACCCTGGACATCATTCATTTTGACCATCTGACTTCCAAGTACTGATGCATTTCTATTCCCCCGCCCCCTTTCCTGCTGTGATAAGCTATTTTGACCATGTGTTTATCTCTCCTTTAAACTCTATATTGTTAAGAGCTGTACTTAGGTAGGAAGCCAAAGCTAAAATGTACCCCTGCTCAGAACAAACAGGTGTCAGCTACTGTGTTACACTCCAACTATTAAAGTTAGCACTTTATTTATTTTTCTTTAAATCTGCTCCCAGGAAAGACACTACTGATAAATGTATTGAGAACCCCAGCACCAACCAACCAGCCAACAAATCAACCAGCCAGCCAGCCAGCCAACCAACCAACCAGACAACAACCAGCTAGCCAACCAGCCAGCCAGCCAGCCAGCCAGCCAATCAGCCAGTCAGCTAATTAGTCAACCAGCCAATTAGCCAGTCAACCAACCAGCAAATCAACCAACTACCCAACTAGCCAGTTTACCAGCCAGTTTACCAGCTAGCCAAACAGCCAACCATCCATCCAACCATCCATCCATCCATCCATCCATCCATCCATCCATCCATCCATCCATCCATCACCCATCCATCCATCCATCCATCCATCCAACTAGCCAACCAGCCAACCAATCAGCCAGCTAACCAGCCATCCAGCCAATCAGACAGACAGACAGACAGCCAATCAAACAATCAGTCAGCCAATCAACCAGTCAACCACTCAGCCAAACATCTAGCCAGCCAACCAGCCAGCCAACCAGCCAACCAACCATCTATCCATCCATAGCTAACCAGCTAGCCAATCTGTCAACCAACTAACCACCCAGACAACCATCCATCCACTCATTCAACCAATCAACCAACCAACCAACAAAAGGTCAAACATAGCTTCCACTGTGACTCTCCAGGTTCATGGGTAATGAAACCAGATGATACCTCAGCTCAAATTACAGATCTGATGACACCAAAGGGCTGGAGGAAGGCATGTGGAGCAAGGAGTCCCCTCCACACCATGGAGGTGACCACACTGGAGTGACATATGGGGCTGGACATCTGTGAAGATCCCCTGCCTCACAGAACCAGGCTGTGACAGATGCAGACATATCACAGCTCTGTCTGACAGCAGAGCCTGAGCCTCTTTCTCAGGTGTAGATGGGATCAGTCATACAACTGATAACTTGGTGAGATACACAGAAAACATTAAAATTTTGCTAAAGTCTAACAGGAAAATAACTGATCACAGTGCAATGAATCTAGAAATTAAAAACAAAAAGAGCCCTTCCATCTAGAAGTAAACCAAAAAACAAAACCCAAACTCTTCTATCAGCCATCTTTTGTGTGAAAGAGAAGTACAAGCACAAATTGCATAGTTTTTGATGAAAACACTTTGGTTATTTATTTTTATTTTTTGGCAGTACTGGAGTTTGAACATGGGGCCTTGTGATGTCAGGCAGGGGCTCTGCTGCTTGACTGATGCCCCAACCCTTTTTGCTGTAGTTATTTCTCAGATAAGATCTCACTTTTTGCCTGTAGTCAACCTTAGTCCATAGTCCTCTTATCTTTGCCTCCTGTGTAGCTGGGATTATAGGCATGAATCACCACATCCAACTTGTTTATTTTGAGTTTGAGGGACCGTGCTATAGTTTTGCCTTGGCTGGTCTCAAACTGCAATCCTCCCATTCTCTGCCTCCCAAGTAGCTGGGATTATAGAAATGAACCACCATGCCCATCCCTGAAAACACTTTATATCAGAACGAACAGATTACTTAAATTTAAGTAAGTGAGGAAATTTCACAGTCCCAAATTCCTATATTAATAAGAATGAAAGAATAAAAGTAAATTAAGTTTTCAACTCAAAAAGCAAAAGAAAAGAACAAGAAAGCAAATCAACAGTGTAAAAGGAAGAAAACAGTAAAGAGAATAAAATAGGAATATAAATTAATAGGTAGAAAGCAGAGAAACAGTAGATCAAATTAGTAATTAAAATCTCAGTTCTTATAAAAAAGAAAGTAGACAAACCATCAGCTAATTTCATCAAAAAGAAATATACAAATATATACAAATAAGAAACATACAATATACAAATTAAGAAACAACAAAGTAAAGGAGTAAGTTAAAAAAAAGCCTTATGAATTATTTTGCACAACTCCATGTAAGTAAATTCAAAAATCTAGATTAGATGAACAATATTTTAATAAAATATAGTTATAGGGCCAAGTGCAGTGGCTCATGTCTATAATCCCAGCTACAGAGGAGGTGAAGATTGGGAGAATCATGGTTTGAGGCCAGCTTGGGCAACTGCATAGAAAGAGCTAGTGTCATAAAGACAGCAGTCCTGTCATCAGGACAAAATGATTCTGATAAATGGTGCTGAAACAACTGAATAGCTGTATGGAAAAGACAAAAGATGGGGAGACTCCTCTAAAACCTAGGTGTACAGAATGCTTCCAAACTATGACTCAAGATTCTGGTGCAATAAAAGCAAAGAATGACCAATTTGATCACCCTCTTCCCCCAACAAAACACCAAATCTTTGCATGGTATAGATACCATAGGTAAAGTCAAAAGACAACCACAAACCAGGAAAAAATCATTATCACATATCAGAGGAAGGGCTAATAGTCCCAACACAGAAAGAACTTAAAAAAAATCCTATGGAAAAATGGGCCAAATACATAAACAGGCACAATAGTACAGAGGGGATTTTCCATATATATAGTCAAATATATATGTTTATATATGTATGTGTGTGTGTTACTAGAGATTGAATTCAGGTCCTCATGAATGCTAGGCAAACACTACCACTGAACCCCACTCTCAGCCCTATAATGAGTTTCATTGTACATTTTCACACATGAATACGATGTACTTTGACCATATTCACCCCTCCCAGTACCCTTTCTTACTTCCCTTCCTTTTCCCCCCACACCCTCCTCTTCCCTAATAGTCTCCTTTTTACTTTCCTATCTTTTTTCTAGATTCCATATATGAATAAGAAGACTACTAACAATGGTCTCTTTCAGGCCAATCCAAATTGTGACACATTATACAAAGTAACTGGTGTGTACTCTTCAGAAATGTCAACGTTCTGAGAGACAAAGAAAGGCTGAGGGGTTGTTCTAGATCAAAGGAGAAGAGACAATGAATTTCAGTGCACAATCCTAGGCTGGAAAGAGTGTGCTGTGAAGGATGTAACTGGGGCTACAGCCATAGCACCCTGAATGTGCCCCGTCCCATCTCATCTCAGAAGCTAAGCAGGAACAGGCCTGGCTAGTACTTGGATGGGAGGATATACCTGGACGACTGGTAAAGTGCTAATTGGCCTGTATTTTAGACATTAGTACTGTACCAGGGTTAGCATTCCTGGATGGAGCAATTTTATTGTGTTATAGGAGATAATGCCATTGCTCTGAGGAAATAACATGTCAAATATGTACAGGTGAAGAGTTATGATGTCTGTGACTAATCTCAAACGGCATAACAAA